GCAGATACTGTTCCAACACCTGGTTAACCCTTTCTGTCTGACCGTCTGTCTGGGGGTGATATGCAGTGGACATTGTTGACTTTATACCGAGCTTCTGGCAGAACTCCTGGAATAGTTTGCTCACAAATTGAGTACCTCTGTCTGAGATAATTTGGCGCGGCAATCCGTGGAGTTTGAAGACTTCATTATAGAATACGTTAGCGACTTGCGACGATGTGACTGTATCATCCGTTGCATAAAAGTGCGCTCGCTTCGTGAGTCTGTCCACGACGACAAGTATTGCCGTCTTCTCTCCCCTAAAGTCCATGGCTGGAGGAAGTTGTGTGATGAGATCCACTGTGACAATCTCCCATGGTCCTCCTGATACCTCGTTTGGTTGTAGTAGTCCGTATGGTTTTTCTCTTGAGTACTTGTTGCGTTGACAACTGTCGCAACCTTGTACGTATTGTTTAACCATTACAGGCATTCCTGGCCACCAATAATTCCGAGTAATAAGCTCCAACGTCTTGAACCTGCCAGGGTGTCCAGCTGGTAGGGTGTCGTGATGGAGTTTTATTAGGTCAAGGCGTAGCTGTTGATCCTTGGGGACATAAACCTTTCCGCGATGGAGTAGCAGTCCGTGCTCAAAGTTCCATTCTGTGAGGTTTTTCCCAAATTCGCGCTGTCCTGTAGTCAAAAGTGCACGATAATCTTTGATCATCATGTCGTCTGTGAGTGCCTTCTTGATCCTTTCCAGTAGTTGAGCATCATCAACTTCAGATGCGTGAGCAGGTCGAATCACATTGATAGCGAAAAATTCAGGCTTTAACAGCATTTGATTCGAATTGTCGCTGTCTACCCCCCTCTCATGGTCTGGCCTCCTGGACAGAGGATCGGCACGTAGCATTGTCTTTCCAGGTCAGTGACTGAGTATGAAATTAAATTGTGTAAGGAATAATGACCAGCGCGCTTGGCGCCAGGATAACTTCTGTGCCTGGCAGAAGTATGTAAGGTTGAGGTGGTCTGACCATATCTCAATGGGTTCTGGATGTCCTTCTAAATAGTGCCGGTATTCTTCTAGTGCTCGAATAATAGCAAGCATCTCCTTGTCGTAAATCTCGTAGTTCTGCTCATGTTCGTTGAGTGACTTAGAGTAGTATGCGACTGGATGCCATAGCTTGTCCTCTCCTAGTTGTTCGAGTACTGCACCAGTTGCGTAGTCTGAAGAGTCTGTTTCTAGATGGTATGATGCAGTGTCGTTGGGGAGTTGTAAGATCAGGGCTGAGGTGAACGCCATTTTGAGTGCACTAAAGGCTTGGTCTTGCTCTTCCTTCCATTGCCAGGGCACGTCCTTACAGATGAGAAGCGTTAAAGGTCGTGCGAGTTTCGCAAAGTCCTTTATAAATCGCCTGTAGAAATTTGCGAATCCTAAAAAGGCCTGTACTTGCTTGACCTTAGTAGGTGCGGGCCAGCCAAGTACACCTTCGACTTTAGCAGGGTCCATCTGTACCGAGTTCTTGCTGATGATCATGCCAAGATATTCAATTGAGGACTGTTCAAAGAAGCATTTCTCCAGTTTGGCGTATAAGTCATTGTCCCGGAGATGCTGTAGAACTGCTTTTACTAGTCGTTGGTGTTCTTCGAGATCGTCCGTAAAAATGAGGATATCGTCTAAGTAGACTACCACCTTTCCAGTATGAATTAAGTCTTCGAGGACTGTATTCATCATTGTCTGAAAGGTACTGGGAGCATTGCAGAAACTGAAGTACATTACAGTGGGTTCGAAGAGGCCACGATGTGTGATGAAGGCGGCTTTTTCTTCGTCTCCCTCCCTAATCCTTATGTTGTTGAACCCCCATCTCAGATCAAGCTTCATAAATATACTAGCATGTGAGAGTCTGTCAATGAGGTCCGAAATGCATGGGATTGGGAACTTGTTCTTCTTTGTGACTGCGTTGAGGTTCCTGTAGTCTTGTACTAGCCTCAGTGATATGTCCTTCTTTTTGACGAAGAAGACGGGTGCTGCGGTTGGACTCCTTGATCTCTTGATGTAACCTTTCGCCAACTCTTGGTCTATCCACATGTCGAGCGAATTTCTTTCCTGTAGGTTCATAGGATATAACTTTGCCGGACATGGTAACGATGCCTCTGGAACAAGTTCGATTGGATGATCATAGGGCTTTCTTGTGGGCATTCCTTCCGACTGCTTCTTGGAGAACACATCGCCATACTCGTGGAAGTGTTTGGGGACATAGGCTGACCAGTAGTCTTTGTCCTGTTCTCCTTTTTGCGGTGCTCTATCCTGATTCCTCTGCATGTCAAGACCCATAATGAGCGATGCTATGGCTTGTGCATCAGGGTCTTCTGATAATGACACCCATCTAATGAAGCTATCCATGTCATTCCAGTTGTCACCTAACTCCTGGGAACCGATGAACTCCATCAGGTCTTCGATGTGGGGGATGTTTGTGTCTTCCAGGTCCTCCTCCTGGATTGCTACCTGTGAGGGTGTGCATCTTTGTGGGCACCGGGTGAAATCGACTGAGTTTTCCCCAATCCACTTCGGGATTATGCTCCTTAAGGAAACTCATGCCTAGTATAACGTCTTTATGTCCTATATCGGTGACCAAAAGGCTTTGCCTGCTTGTGTGGTTTCCGATGGTTATACTCAGAAGAACCCTTTTCTTAATGGTTCCGCCCTTGTTATGAGATGCATCTGCATTGTAAACCCTGATCTCCTTCTCAAGTGAGATCGTAGCGAGATTCAACTGATCAACCAGCCGTGGGTTGATGTAGCAAGAATATGCTCCTGAATCGAGGAGCGCCTCAGTCTGGACTTCCCTTACTCCCTGTTTGAGGTGAACAGGTAAATCGATCGCGTGTTTTGACGAACCAGTAGATGCGATGTATAAAAAACTTGATACTGGTACATGTGAGAGCGAGTAGGTACTATTACAGTGTCTATGGGAACTCTGGCCAGACCTCAGAGAACCTGCCGAAGAAAATCCTCATCATCTTCTACCTCCGTGATCCTAGCTGCTTCGACAGCTGGTTCCGGTTCTGCCTCCTTTTCCTTTCCCTTCACGTCGTAGCTGGCGATGAAAGCACGGACTGCTTCGTATCTTGCCTTGCTGTCGTCGGAGATGTCTGAGGTCGTGTTTGAAGAAATTGCCCTTGTTGCTTGGCCCCGCTTTGGCATTTCGAATTTACCTTTGTACTTGGGGTCAGGGCATCACTATTTAAAAATGAAGGGGTGTTTCCCACATCGTACACACAGCTTCTTCTCCAGCCATCCTTCTTGCTCCTTGGTGAGGGTGGATACTCGATCCACAACCATTGTGTTGGGGTCTTTCAGGGCCCATGGTGTCGATGATGATGATGTTGTAACCATTCCGCATTGTCCTGCCTTGTTGGCTCTGAACTTGGACTCTAATTGAAGACATAGGTCGAGATATTCTGGCCATGTGATGGGGTCAGAAATTCCTAGACTGTCTCGTGTGACCATTGCGTGGCATACGTCCTTGCTTCGGTGTTCAGCGATGTAACCGATGAGTGCAGTGTGCCCTAAGTTGGTCTTAGTGGCCCATTGGCGGAACTGTTCTGCAAAGGATACCATCGTGGGATACATCTTGCCACAGATATCCTTCAGATGCTGCTGCGCATCCTTGTCCGGGTCGAGGGTTCTGTAGTTCACTTTGAGAATGTTAACGAAGTCTTCCCATGTGCCAAGTGCCTGCCGTGCTGCTGCTCTGGTTGCATATTCGGACATGTATGTGAACGCGCCACCTTCCAAGTACAGTAAGGCCGTGGTAATCTTGTGTTCATCGTCGTTGATCTCGTTCCACCGCATCCATATACCGAGTTGTTGGAGCCAGTCCTCCAGACTTCCTTTGCCCGAGTAGTGTGGAGGTTCGGCAATTTTGATGCGTGGCTTGTGCGATTGGACCGTGCCGGATGTTTGACCTTGCATCGTAGTGACGCCGCTTGCTTTGAGCGAAGCTAGCTCGTGCCGCAGCTTAACGTTAGCTGCCTTGATTTCCATCATTTCTTTGCCCGTGTCGAGCATTGCCACCTGGGTTCCTGTGAGCTCGTCGTTCAAAACCGTCATATGTGCATCTTGCACGAGGATCCTATCCTTGAGCTTCCCGATCTCCGTCTGGAGCATTCCCTCCTTGAGTCGGTGTTCACTCTTGTTGCTTTAGATTAGTGACTCGAAGGCTTTCTTGTGCTCGTACATCTTGTTTCCGAGCACATTGTAGACCTTGGCGACTTCGGTACTGACTGTGAGTTTCATTGCGACAATAACCCATTCGCGGATGTGGTCCGGGACTTCTCCGGGAGCGGACTGTCTGAGCGCATCTTCTAGATGCTCGAACTGGTGTCCATCGAATTCCCAGATGGGGGGACATAGGTGGGTAAGAGTGATGGGGTTGGGGATGCTGGTCCTCCAACTTGCGATGCAGAATCCTGCGGTCCTAGTGCAGGTTCTGGTGAATTGCGCTGCGAGGCACGTGGGGTGCTTCCGTCATGTGCTGACTCGATGTTTGTATGCAGAATATCATCCATTCTTTGCCTGAACGTGGATGCGTATGCACGATCGGCTCCTTCTATTGTGATATAGATGTAGTTAAACTAATTGAAGATGAAGCCTAGGTACTGCTTGTCCTTGACTTCCCCAATCTCCCTGATGATCTCGTCTAACCTCTGCTGCTTCCCTATCTCCTTGAAGTTGATCCTTCCTATTTCTAGGCAGCACGTGTTGACGACCTGTTTGTCGATGAAGGTGTATTCACGAGTTCCCGTGTAGAGGTCTGCGCAGACTTTGTCTAACTCCGATGCGAGGAGTTGTACCTTCTTTCGTTTGTCCTGATCAATTCTCTCCCAGAACGCTCCTAATATCGGTTGTAGTCTGAAGCGGGTAGTGGAGACCTGCTTCTTGAGTGTTTTGATGTGGAGGGTGGGCCTGACTTTGGATGGAAGAGGGCGAATGGGTCGTGCGTGTGTGTTGACTTTAACGAAGTTGGGAAGGGGTCACACTGGCTGTGGAGCAACAATGATGGGGGAAACGGCGTTGGAGGTGATAATCTCTGGGGGTGGTCTCGGCTTTCGACTGCCTGTAGTGAGACGTCCTTTTCTGAGCTTGTAGCATTCGAGCAGCGGGGTGTGATCGCGTGGCTTGCGGATGATTCCGCGCTTTATGATGTGTGTGGTATCTACAACCCTAGCTGCTGCTCGCTGCCTGTCTGTGGATGATGCGCCTAGTGACGCAAGTGTAAGGAGCCTTCCATGCTCCTTGTTGGTTTCCTGATGCTTGTAGTGGGTGTCGAGGTCGATCCTGGGGGTGGCCTTGCACTTTGAGGCTTTGGGCAGCTCAGAGTCTTGCTGAGGCTCACGCCGGGTAGAGATCAGATTGGAATGTGTGTCAAAAAAGCTGCGCGCTACGGCTGAAACTGCTTGCGCTGAAAAAATGCGGCCACTTGTGTTAGACACTAAGCAGGGGCGCAGAAAATGTCAGATTGTTTCTAATGTCACGGTAACACCGGACAAGAGATCAAAGAGACAAAAAAGGGATAGTCACGTAGAACGTGCCGCCCTGATCCCCCTGATCCCAAAAGTATCCCCCTGAACTCTATGTGACACAAGAGCCTGTTGACTTACTGGTCGGTGTGGCAGGCGCAGGAAGGGGTGAGAGATATATGAAGGAGCTGGTAAGCTCAGTGAGTGCTACAGGTAGTAGACGAGGAGAAACAATCTGAGGTTTCTTCCTCTACATGGCTGGTCTTATATACATGTACAGCAGGCTATCTTACCTAAGCTACCTATCTACGGGTATAAGCAAATGGCCGTACATGAAACAATAGGATGTCCGGAAGTAGAACAATAAGTGGGAAGATCGATGGTTGCCGCAGTAATGCGTGTGCACATCGTGCCTATCTTGGTTTCCCTTTTGTTCTCTGGTGTGAACATCGTACCTATCTAGGCTTCTGGCTAAACTAATAGGAAGCGGAAGGCCGATGCATAACAATAGTCCTTGTTCCCTTTGTTCCCCAATGGGTGCCTCTATTGTATCCTGGAATAGACAGGTCCGACCGTATCATCCACGGGTCTGGACCATAACATGTGATGTGGACTATCACCTGATCTCTACGTGTCACGTCTGTGGCTGAGTGGCGTGAGATATTGGTGAAGCACGTGATCTGTGGTGTGAGAAAAGTCACGTGCGGACTTTGTGGCGAAAATCTGTGACAGTGTGGCTACAATGGGATGGGCCATCAGTTTGGTCCTGTGGAGCCATCTTTTAGAGAGTGAATGATTTCTGAACTCCTGGCCACGCAGTGGGCTGGCCAGGAAAGTCAACACAAATCGATAACCATTGACCAAGAGGCACTCACCACAATCGATGAGAACCACCACTACGAGGTTCCTGCTGGGGACCAGACTGCAGGCTGGTGAGTGATCCCAGTCAGCAGGGCTGAGAGCCGGGGCAGGTCACCAAGATGTGAAGGCTGCAGGGCAGCTGAGGGACAGGTGTGACTGGGCAAAGGTGGGATCAGGAGGTCGAGGGCAGGAGGGTGAGGGTCAGAGGGTCGACCACGAGGTGCCACTGCAGTGATACAAGACACCAGGTGCAGGGGGCAAGCACCATGCAAGGGCGGACCTATCAGCAAGGTGAGGGTGGAGCAGGGCATCAAAGGGTGGGCCGAGCAGATGCCGAGTGAGACAGGCTGGCAGTCTGGTGAAGTGGCACAGCCACAGCATGTGGAGCACCCAAGAAAAGCTGAGCAAGGTGCTTGCACAGAGCATGCATAGAACAGAGACTGAGACCCACATCCAGGAGGTGCTGGCACTGGCGTGTGGACCAAGGCAAATGATGAGCATGGAGGTGCACTATAGGAAGTACCTGAACATGGGCACGTACGGGATGCATACGGTATTGAGACTGGGACCAAGGATCAGGGGGTGCCAGGACTGGCATACGGACTGAGGTGGGCAGATGCGCATGAAATGGAGACTGGGACCCTGGGACAGGGAGTGATGAAACAGGCATGTGACCCACAACAGTGAAGGATGCAGTGGTGACTTGGTCGAGGGGGCATGTTGGCATTTGGGTGCGGAGCGCGGATGCAAGAGGCCCCGGTGTGACCTGCGCCACCGGCGTGGGAGAGTAGTAGCGCGCATGTATATAATAGGGCGTGGCTACAATGGGACGGGCCATCGGTTTGGCCCCGTGGAGCCATCTTCTAGAGAGCGGGCGACTCCCGAACTCCTGGCCATGCAGTGGGCTGGCCGGGAAAGTCAACAGTCATCAATGCTGTTGTGCATCGCACACCGCTTGAACACAATAAGTGAGCTTGAAAGTTGGCTACTCTATGGTTGAGGTTGCTCATACAGTCCTGTTCATAGTGTACTATGATTGCATCGTCGTGATGGACGATGGAAGAGTGGCAGAGTTTGACATACCACTCAATCTCTTTGACAAGGAGAACTCAATCTTCCGGTCGTTATGCAACGAGGCAGGTCTCTCCAGAGAGAACATTATTAGCATCCGTAATTCTCACTCCGCTGGCTACTCGGTGCCTTGCTCGGCATCCTAATTCCTTCAATCTATACGGGTTGATGTGTCGTTCTCCCCTTACACGAGAATGCTGCACACGCGCATTCAATATACCAGACCCGCTTGTCTCGCACTCTATATTCATTCATTTTCTTGGAACCATGTTGCTTTACTGAGATCAGCCACTTGAAGTTGGGCACTAGTCTCAGCCGTCGCCCATAGAAGATAACAGCGGCCTGCCAGAAAATCCCAACCACGTCTGAGAATGCGTTTCTACCAAATACTGAGCTAATGTTACAAACACTGCGTCCCTCCACTGCGTCTCTCCACACGCTTTCGTTGGAATCGTATCCGATCTGAACGGAGAAGACTCCACCATTGGTCGAGGAGAGTCCAACCTCCCATCTCACCTCCAAAATGTCGACTCTTCGTCACTCTAAGCAAAAGGCGCGTCAGGCACAACGAATAGCAATGCATGATGTGGGATAATAATTTACAGGCAGTACGGAGATCTTATAACACTATACGATAAGCAAGCGACAGCACCCTCACAAACTGATACGCGGTCAAGCCCGAGCCTTGCGGCGCTCTTGGTTCTCCTTCTCTGCACCGGAGTACAACGCAGAAATTGACCGCTGTGCAGTGCGCTCGACGATTGATGTCCCGTCACGGAACCGCGTACGAAAGAGGACATTGGCATTGGTGAACAGGCCCTCCTTCAGCGAGACGACGATGAATTGGGAACCCTTGAACCGCGTACGGAAGAGCTGTCCGATGTGCTGAGTGTGAGAAAGGTCCAACGCAGCATCGATTTCATCGAGGATGTACATAGGCGCCGGCTTAAATTGGAGCAGGGACATGATCAGTGAAAGGGCGATGAGCGAGCTGTACAGCGACAACCTCGTTAGAGCCTGCGATTTGAACTTGGAATGTACTTTTACCGTTGACCACCGCTCAACTCTGTGAGACTTTGCTTCCAGACAGATCCCAGTTGCACTTTGACTTCCAGGCCCTGCGTGAGGTCCTGACCTTCAGGTGGCTGCAATTTGGCGAAGTTTCCCGGAAGCAGTTCAGCAAAGATTCCTCCAAAATCTCTATATGCAACGTTCCACTGAGAGGCTTGCTATAGCGTTTGTAACTGAACTTACCCGTTCACTTTAGACCACGTCTTCTCCAAAGCGTCTAGCTTGTAGCGGTCCAACTCCTCGATGGTCTGCTCGATCTTCTCCTTGTCCTTCAGCACAGTTGCCAACATTTTCTTCAGCGAGGCTTCCTTCTTCTCGACACTTCGATTGGCCGCCATCAGCACGGTAAAGACGATTTCGCATATGCTCTACCCACGTATCAATCATGTTGATGACCTTTGGATTCACCTTCTTCTTCATTCCTTTCTGTTGTGCCTCGAGATCTCTGGCCTTCTCCTTCAACCGATTGATGTCCACCGCTGCGAAGTCATACTGAGAGCCCGGTTTCCCAAAAGACCTGCAGTCAGGTCAATGTCAACGTGAAGCAGAGTCCGAGATTGGCACTTACTCCTGTTCGTCAACAATCCAGTCGTACTGCTTCTCCAAGTTGGTCACGAAGTTGACAGCAGTAGTCTTCTCCTTTGCGAGTGACCCTAGATCATGTTCCAGCTTTTTGAGCTGGAGATCCGCATCGGAGACTGCCTGCTTCTTCTCTTTGACGACACGCTCAAGCTCTTTCAGCTCGTTGTCGAACCGAGTCAGGGTGGCTCGCTCCTCCTGTAATTTGCGCTCTGCCTTCGCGAACGACGCCTAGAAATTTATGCAGACTGAGCACACCGTATGTACGAGAATCACGGAGACTGACCTCGCTCGAAGCAAGCTGACGGTTCAACTGTGCAAGCTCTTCGCGCATCTTGTCGACGCCTAACCGTGCTTCCGACAGTTCGTCCTCACCTGTCTTAACGTCCTTCTCCAGTTGTTCTTCGAATAGATTCATCCATTTCTGTGATACAGGAACCGTGTGAGTTTACATACCTAACTCCAGCTTAGCTGTCTGCAGATCCTTTTGCTGAGTCTTCACCAGCACTGAGTGCTTCTGCAGCGCTGCCTTCTGCGTTGAGACATCCGACTACCCATTGCACCGTAAGCTATATGCCATCACATGACCCTGCTGGCATCAACTCACCCTGAGTTCCTCGATCTTACCTTCCTTGTTGCTCTTGAATTCCTCCATGTCCTTCTCGAGTTTGTTCATCTCTTCCCGGGCAGCTGCTTGTTTTTGTCTCGCACTCTCGACGACAGCGGTCAGTTCGGCGATGGTTTGCTTAGCCTGTTCAACATCTGCACCGATCTAACAGCAGGTGAGCATCCTGGTCGGCGCAGCATTTCATCTAGCAAGCTTACCCTGGAGGCATTGCTCCCATTGATTTGCTCCTCCAGAAGCCTCATCTCGTGCTCCTTCAGCTCTAGTTCCCGAGCAAGCTTCTTCCACTTTTCTCTCGCGTCTCGATCCTGCATCTCTCGCTGTTCCAGCATCTGCAGGCGGCCTCGGGCTTCTCCGAGCTTACCCTCAGCTTCGAGCAATTCCTGCATCTTGATAAGTACGCCGCTTCCGCTTGGCGCAGACCCACCGCTCAACATGCCAGAGGGGTCGTAGACATCGCCGTCGAGTGTGACCGACCTTACGTGCGAGGTGAAGGTCACGAGCTTCGCAGACTCCGCGTCGTCACAGACCATAGTGTTGCCGAAGACGAACGCCATAGCGTTGGCGACCTCTTGTGAATAGCCGACCAGCGACAGTGCCAAGCGGACCTTGCCAGGTGCGAGCTTCATCGCGGCTTGGAGTTTCTTTGTAATGAACACTTTAGCGATGGGCGATACGTGCGACGCAAGAGTTTGACAGACCTGGTCAGGAATGACACTTCTGTCTATCTTGTTCAGCGGAATGATGGTGACTCGTTTCTTGAGTCGGCCTTTCTCCAACAGTTCTTTCCCGACTTGCTCATTCTCGACGACTACATTGTAGAGCCTCCCGCTAGCAGTGATCTCCAGTGCAGTAGACTTGTCGTAGTCGGTAGGCTCAAGCGAGATCAAAGAGGCAACGAGACCTTTTACGCGGGTACGGTCGAAGTTGGGGTGAGGCGAGGCGTACTCGAAATCGAGAGATGATAGCCGGTGCTTCACCAACTCGCGTTCCTAGTGACAACAGGTTGGCGTACGGATGCCCAGCGGATAGAGCCTACGTACCTCTGTTAATCGCCGCACTTCCACCTTCGCCGCCTTCAAAGCTGCTTCGCCTTCTTTTTCCTTATCCGTACTCCATCCCGATTGTGCGACCCTCTTCTTAAAGGCTTCAATCTCTGCTCTCGTCGACCGTAGCCGTCTCTCTCCATCTCCGGCTTCTCTCTCGACTTCCTTCCAGCGAGTCTCCAAGTCCTTCAGCTCCTTGCGTCTCATCGTCAGCTTTACTTTGGTCTGTTCCTCTTCGGTGTTCGCTTGTGCGAGGCGTGTCCTGGCTTCGGCGAGTTGGCCCATGTACCCACCTCCAGTGTGGCCGGCGCTCTTCGATGTGAGGCCAGTGAGAAGCGTTTGTAGGAGCTCTTCTGCGTTCGACAGAGATGCCTGTAAGGCATTGTGCTTGTCTTTGACAGATGCGTGAGACGCGGTCAACCCGTCTACCTGCGCTCGCTTCTGTGCGAGACTGCTGCCCAGCTAAGGCAAAGCGTTAATGACGGTTAGCCATACTCCGCTCGGAGCTTACCTCGGCAAGTCCTTCCTCCAGTGTCGTCACCTTGCCTTCCTCGTCGAATATTGATCCATTCTTAATATCGATTTGCGTGCGGACCTTAACGAGTACCTTTTCAAGCTCGGCCACCTCCTCCTCAAGCTTCTTGAATTTTCCGCCCTTCCGCAACTCCTTCTCGCGCTGTGCTTCAACCTCTCGGGCGTCCTTCTCCGCAGCCTCTATTTCATTGACACACTTCTCCTTGCCCTTGCTCACCTTCACTTTCTCCTTCTCCTTAGCATTAATCTCCGCCTCCTTCCTGTTGACACGTTCCCGTCCTTCCGTCCATTCCCACGCACGGAGCACGCGCCCAATCCTTTCCAACTCAGAGCAGGCTTTCTGCCACTGTAGGAATGAGCGCTTTTCCTCCCGCAGCGTGTCAAGCTTCGGTGTGATTTCTTCTGCCAATAGAGACGTGATTTCTTGTACTCGCTTCTCCTTCTTGCCCATCGTCTTCTTCGCCTTGTCTTTGCGCTCTTCAAACATGCGGGTTCCAGCAGCTTCCTCAACCATTCCGAGAATCTCTTGTGGACGCATATTCAGCACCTGCCCGAACCCCCCACGTGAACAACGTTTGCGGCACACGTAGAGAACGCGAACCTTTGTGATCCGACCTTGCATGATTAGAAAGTTCGGGTTGTTTATGTTGAGTTGAACACTCTGGAAGAGGGTCTGTATGGTATGCTGTTGTGATTTATGACCATTGAGGAGATATTTGGAGACGTTTGGGAGCGCAATCTGCCAATGTGCTAAGGATTCAGTGCTGAGACGCGAATAGAAGGGTCTTCACCTGCCGGGTCACCGTGATCTGCTTACAATTCTCCATTCCGACAGGACTGGTTGCGCGGTCAGAATTGTCGAAAACGATCGTCACACTTGCTTTGGTGATGCCGGCCTGACCTCGCTTGTATATGAGATCCTGTTGGTTTTGTGCACGCATCTATGTAGCGATATAAAATTCACACAGGAGACGCTCTCGTATATACAATGCACTGACTGATGACATGTTGGTAATGCCGAGAACAAAGCATATCGCGTCAAGGATGTTGGACTTTCCAGATCCATTGAGACCAGTGATGGCGTTGAAAGACGCGTCCCATCCTGTGATCTGCGTTCTCACAGGATATGATTTGAAGCCTGCGCGAATTGAGACATCTAGTCATATATAATACCGCGTGTTGTCCTGACCTTCCAGTACCAATTCCTCAATGCGCATGGTGAAGTTTGCTGAGAGTCCGCTAGCCTGAGTGAGAGACTTTCCGACCGTACAACCCTGTCCAAAGTCGAGACAGTCAATGTAGGCGGCTGCTAGCTGCAGTCTCGCGGTTGCGGTCAAGGACGAGGTTGAACCAGGGACCTCGCGTCGCGTCGCGAAGTCGCGACACGCGCCGAGCGGCGATTGAAAGTTGTCGTCACGTGATGTCCTCATGTGTAGTGGCAAAACAGCGAGCTTTCAGACTGCAATAAAAACCCCTGTAATTTTACAGACAGCCGCTGTCCACGCCTTACTACCGTGAAGGTATCCTACACGTACATTTGCGACTCAAGTCGTTCTTAATGTCTCTGTCGGATTTTGACTCGGACCTCACGGACCTACCTTCCTCGGACGAGGAAGAGTACATCCCTACCACAACAAAGAAGAAGAAAAAGGCGACCCCGAGAACGAGAACCGAATACAAAGTAGGCAGTTCAGTTACCTCTGTGGCAATCAGGCATTCTCATGCGCCATTCCTAGATTCAGAATGCGCTGCGACCACCGCGTACCACTCAGTACACCGCGAAGAGCCTGTATGGTAGGCCACTCCAACTTGTTCGGTGCATGGCATTTTCGATGGATGAGCACACCTAGACCAGATAGTAGATGATGCAATTGATCTGAATCCCGAGTATCAAAGAGGTACGTGCCTGGATTCGCATATAGCTGTAGTTCCCGTCGTGACTTCGGTTTGTTGATGATGGTTTTTTGATTAGATGTTGTCTGGCCAGAAACAAAGCAAAGCGGTCTTATTGACTCAATCCTCAGAAACTATTACATACCACCTGTGATCTTCGGTGTGGTACTCTGATCCGGTATAAACGAGTTCGAGCTAATTGTTGTTCCGATCAGCTGTCACCGCTAAGGATGATGGCACGGAGAGACGCACCTGCATCGACGGCAAGCAGCGCTTAACTTCTGTACAGATGTGCGTTTTCAGTGTTTTGATAAATGCAGCCGTTGACTAACTGGTCATGCACGGGTCTTTCCAGGTTTATGGATGGACTGGTGAGCGTTGTTGCGGATGGTCTACGCGATCTCCGGTCTGATCTATCGTCGGTGTATGCGCTTTAGATATGTCGTGAGTGCCGTCATGTCGGAGCGTTTGGCATTGTTATTGAATGAGTCCTGCACTGACAGACAAGGATTCGTGAGTCATGATATCTCAATAACTAGCACATGAGCTGACCAGATCAGGCAAACCAATAAGCGATATTGGTACAAGGACGTACCGGGAGCCAAACGCACCTTGCTGCCCAAGGCGTACATGCAAGCATTTGCGAACAAGCAGATCACCTGCGTAGAGTACGATTGCTTGACGGATGACCAGGAAAGGGAGATTTTCCAGGTGTGTCTACTTTCTGCGGTAGCTTTTCTATATTTAATGGCGAACATGCATATAGCGTGTCCAACTCGGTGTAGCGCTAACACCTGCAGGTATGCATACAATTTAAGCACTATTCAGCATTGCCCATACTCACGACTGGCAGAGCGGATGCAAGCTTACGTAGGGCCGCGCGCCTCTCTCATCCGAGAGGTACAGTCAGTCGTCTCAGGAGATGACGGAATCGGCCATCAATTCGATTGGGGCCGTGCTCGGGGACGAGACTTCCAGTGTATAGCTTCCATTATCTACCTGATTGAACGCCACCCGAACAACACGTTTCCTGGAGCGGCTCAGCTGGATAAATGGTTGCAAACGCCCCATTCGATCACTTCAAATTTCAGAACTGAAGTGATGGACACTATAAAGACCTTCATCGCTCTGATTAGAGACAAACGCTACAGTGCGGCTATTTCGAAGCCGAACCGAGTTTCACCTATAGAGTTCACCATGATCGGGATTCTCATTCACTTCAATCGCAACAGGATGTCATTGATGCAGTTATTCTCCGCTATCACGAAAATGAGAGCTGACGTTCGTGGGAAGCATGCAGACATCCGGGCCAACACGAAGGTCACCAGGACTATGTTCTCCTTCATCAACAAGGGTATCATGAAGGCAGACCTGCAAAGCGATGGAAAAGGGGACATCCCAGCCACGGAAGTCATGAAGAGTTCTGCAGCTGTCAATAGAAGGTCACAGAAACGGAAAAGGATCGAAACCAGCAGTGATGAAGAGGAGGAAGAGGAACAAGAAGACTTCTGCATGCCTCCTCCACGGAAGGTATTAACGGCTCGTGCGACAGTCTCTAAGGCTACCTCAGCCTCCAAGACTCGAAAATTCAGTCAGAAAAAAGCTTCCACGAAAGCGGCATCATCCTCCACTGCGTCTTCATCCATTCATGTCACGAACGGTAATGCTGCTAGCAAACAGGCCACGACGTCTGCCTCCGCCAATCCTCGTACGGCTCCGGCAAGTAACGGTGCAACGTCCAATACAGTATCACAATCTGTAATGGATAACATCCCGCAGAGTTCATCCTCGACCAGGCCAAAGATCGAACCGGCTTCTCAGCCTTTGCCGAGAGCAAACGAGCAGTCGACCGCGCCGTCCAACCAGAACGTCAGCACCCCTCTAGCTCTCCCCCGAAGAGCTTCAGGAATACCGCTCCCGAGAAGTAGTACTGAAGCAAGCTCTGGCCGAGGGACGCCAGCTCAAGTGCCAGTCAAATCGGAGCCGGTGTCTGATGCTGTGAACCTCGACCAATCTCCGACTACCGCCCAACCGACGCCTGCTACCACATCATCCATCGACAGATTGGCTCCTCTGCGAGCAGCGAGGGCAAGCGCCAATGGTAACACAGCATCTGCGTCGGGTTCTTCCTATTCGCAACCATCTTCAACACAGGCAGCTTCAAGTACAGGGACACAGTGGCAGGAAAACTCGAGCATTGAGCCTCTCATCATCAAGCGCGAAAGGATCGACCCGCCTCCCATCAATACTAGCACAGCTAGTAATCAGCAGTCTGTCATGCCGTCGGCAAATACAGATACGTCAGGCCACCCTCCTTTGCCGGAAGGCAGACAGATAGATCAGGCATCCATCGAGCTGATCCTGGCTAGACATGGCTTCGGGTCGTTTGCACGGCCGTGCCAGTCACCTGTAGACAACCAGGCACAACTGCAGGCGAAAGACTCACCTCAGCAGCCGGCGCATTCTCCGCGCGTTGCTACCACTGCAGATCCAGGAATGCAGCCCCGGAGTGCAGCGAATGGTGTGGCCGTGGCTGGACAGCAGGTGGCAACTCCGCCATACCCACCTGCTCAGCCAAATTTTGAGCCTGTACCGTCTGCAGTGCCGACTGTTGCGAAGCTATCTTCACAGCCTGGCGCTATAGACAACGCGAATACGTCCATCCCCGAACCTCTGGTGATTCCAGGGTTGCGGATCCCGCAAATACAGGGTGTCAATTCGTCACCCGCAGCTGTAACTCGGCCAGCTTCGGCATTATCGACCTTTGCTTCCCGACCGGATACGAACAATACTGGACTGCTAGCCACACAGTCAGAGTACTCCAGCTCTATTCTTCAGACAAGAGCTGCAGTGAATGGGACTGTGCAGGGAACCGACAGCGCCCATGCGGTGAAGGTAGAACAGTCTCAGAGCAAGCCTCCGGTCATCAGCCCCACCAGTTCACCACGACCTCCTCAGCCGCCACCATCATTGCCTCCTCCACCACCTCCGCCGGTAGAAGTGACCATTAACGGAATTAATGCAGGAACTCTTGCACAACGGATGTCTCGATCACCTACTGAGGGGAAGATACGCGGCGGTCACCCTAGCTTCCACAGCGGACCATCGTCTCCCACTCGAGAGCGAGGACGCGAGTTAGATGAGGACAGAGATAGAGACCGAGCCAGAAGCGGATCGCGTGATTATGACAGAGACAGAGACTGGGTGAGAGAGAGGGAGATGGGGAGAGATTCCGGATGGGAGAGTAGGGGTGGAGGAAGGGGGAGAGGGAGAGGGAGAGGGAGAGGCGGGGACTGGTACAGACGCGATTCCAGAGATTATAGCAGAGATAGGAGATGGAGCGGAGAGTATACCAGCGACCGCGGTTGGACCCGAGAACGGTGGTAGGCAGTAGCGTGGTGTCTCGTAACATGCGGGTCAAGGTGCGTCGAGCCACATTCTGTACGTTCCACGCGTTCCATTGACAGTCCGTTTCCGTTCAGGGTCTCCATTGGCCACTTAAACGGTTGTCAACCCAAGCGGTCAAGTACTTTTTTGAGTCATCAAATCTTGACCACATTCTTTGACATCAATTGAGCGCACACTAGGCTCGGCGTCGCTGTGTTTCTGCCTGTACAGTTGTAGCATTTGTGCGGACAGGTGACATACATCGCACTGATAATTATAATCTCTTTGTGGTCCCTTATGATGCTGTAGCTCGCATGCTGTTCCAGTTTCCTCGTCCCGTATGCAAGTAAATTATACCATCTAGGCTTCGGTCTATCAAGATCTTATCTATCAAGATCTTATCATTATTCGATGAGATCGAGGAGACGCAATCGTTGACGTTGAACGTTGGAACGTTGAGCATTGAATATTGAGCGCTGAGCGCCGGGCGCGAGGCGGCGCAGACACGTTTCCTCTTTAGCATTCCACAAGTCTGAGCGGGCTCGTACTCATCATGGCAAGTCTCACCTCCGTCGCAGCGCTATAAAATGGCTCACTGAATGCATAGTCGGCCCTCTTCAACTTCCAATCACTGCTGCTGGTCATTTTGCTCATGATATGCACATGCACGTATATCCGTGCCGTCGCGCCGCGCCTCGTTGACCGGAATAAAGAGGGGTACGCTCGCTGCTTTGCTCGATATCCTGACCTCTTGCTCATGCGAATGTTGGTGGCGAACGACACGATAGGTTTCTGGGACTGTTTTGGATGTCCGCACGCATAGGTTCGTCCGGTTTTCTGTATCATCTTGGCTGTCCGCTCAGACACGCTTGATTGCATTGCAGGAGAGCGCCTCTCGCCATACGTGGCGATGGCATGCGTTGCAATGGCGGTGACATTATTGATTCAATGAACGACTATGTGATTTCCGCTATGCATATGTTTGAGGAGAGTGCGAGGATGGACTCTGGAATACTCTCCGTCCCCTCCGGTTGCTCACACAACTGGCCCCATGGAACTTCTTGCTCGCTATCCTGCATTATTGAGGTGCAGTGACGGGTAAAGCAAGGACATGACTAATTTTTGGACTGACTGACAGCGATGGCACATTTGGCACTGCAGACGTCTCTGAAGGTCCACACAAAACGTAAACAACTTGATGGGAGTCAATCCATTACTGTTTTTGTGAGTCGGGGAACGTACCTTAACACCGGATTCGTTGATGTATGTGACAATATTCCGTCTTTGCATCTTGTCAGCTGATGTGAATTTACACAGTGGTCGCTGGCATAGCATTATATGATCGGAACAAACCACCGGGTGGTCCGAACGATGATAGCAAAACACACCGAGCAATTAACTGTGCTTCTTCAGTCTCAGCCACGTTGGATGAGGAAGTTGTCGAAATGAGAGCAAGAAAGCGCAAACCCGCCCTCTTGCCGATGCTACATGTTTTCCTTGTCCGGATTGCAGTACATGAGCACAAGGCATGAGCACAAGGCATCCGGTGTTTCAACAAAGCTCCATTATATTTGACAGGTAAGAGAAAAGCGTCTTTCGTTGGCAGATTGGCGACCGTCGTCCATTATTACAAGTACTCTTGAACGCTACGCTACGATTGGAATCATGCGTGAATCATTCTCGAACCGCACGGGCGGTATGCTCTGCTGGATTCATATGGGCAGCGCCACAGGAACACTCGGGTCTTTACGGTAGATTCCAACGCCATGTCCGGATCGTGGTGTCTACCATACGTCAGACGCTTGCAAAGTAATTTTTCTCATGGCTGGAACTAGAGCCTGCGGATCGTGGTGTGCTTTGAACCGCGACGATGTTGCAGATATCTAAAGGCTCGTCGGCCGTGAGTGTCACCGCGCCAACGGATGGTGAAGACGGGTTGTCCGCTGCATGGACATGCCGTGGTTTTCTAGCTCAGGTCCTCCGGGCGTCTATGTGTGGTACCTCAGACTCCGTGGACGGGCAATAGCGAGGCTGACCCCGGGGACCGGCCTCCATGCTTATCTCAAGACCGTAAATACTCGCTCATCTCCATCGGGAGTCTCGCTCTTTGCAGCGTCCCTACCACCTCCATGTCCGTCTTCGATCCTGAGGACAAGCATGTCAGCGACGACAGCTCGCTTGAGCGAAAGTTGAGCTCGGAGAAGGAGTGTGAGTTTGCCCTCGGGCTCTTGCGGTGAACACAGCATCTTGACTGCTTGACGCAACCGTTTCACAGACCTTTCTGTTCCTTACCCCGAATTTGATGACCCAAATTTTGACCGAGACTCAGTGGACCTTGGTAAGCTTATTACTTCTGTATGTAGCCGTTAGGACATGAACGGCAGCTCATGTCACTCGATCAGAGGATGATTCGCCATATCCCGAGGTTCGGTCTGCAGTCGCAAACACCGACGACCCTGACATGCCCGTGTGCACGTTTCGTGCATGGGTCATTGGTGTCGTATGGTCCATCATCATCCCTGGCATGAACCAGTTCTTCTTTTTCCGATACCCATCAATCACCGTTACAGGCGTAGGCTTCGCACCTCCATCCTTTTAGCAATACATTGATCAAATGTCAGATTGTAGCACAACTGTTATCCTTTCCGGTATGCCAATTATGGGCACGAATCATGCCGAGGGTGAAGATATTCGGCGTCTCCATCAATCCTGGTCCTTTCACGGTGAAAGAACACGTCCTGATTACGATCATGGCTACTGTTGGCTATACTTCTGCCTATGCTGTGAGTCTATGTACTCTCTCGCATATAAACTACGCACTAATCATATGTCAGACTGACATCATCGCCGTTCAGCGTGTATATTATGGTCAGACGTACAACTTCAGTTACCAATGGATGGTTGTTATGTCCACCCAGCTCGTACGTTGATCCGCCGCGCATTTCTTCTGCCCTCTCACGCCGCACTTGACTTTGTAGATTGGCTTCTCCATTGGAGGCGTTTGCCGTCGTTATCTGGTCCAGCCACCATCAATGATATGGCCGGCAAACCTTGTCACTTGTGCGTTGTTCAACACCCTTCACTCTCAGCAATATGTCGGAATGGGAAATCGCGGTGGCATATCTCGCGAGCGATTTTTCACGTATGCATTTGTGGCTGCCGTCTGCTGGTACTTCTTCCCGGGATACATTTTCCAAGCGCTCAGCGTCTTCACCTGGGTGTGTTGGATAGCACCCGATAACGTGGTTGTGAATCAGCTCTTTGGCTATCAGTCGGGTCTGGGGATGTCTCTCATCACCTTTGACTGGAACCAAGTGCGTGATGCGATAATATACGCAGACTTCCTACCATTCACGGATACCTGTCTTATAGATTGCGTACATCGGCTCTCCTCTGGCGACCCCATGGTGGGCAGAAGCCAACGTTGCTGTTGGATTCGTCTTCTTTTTCTGGTTCCTTACTCCCATTCTATATTACACAAACACTTGGTACGCCAAGTACATGCCAATCTCTTCACGTACGTCCTTCGACAACCAGGGGAGGTCATACGATGTCACGAAGATCATTAATGGGGACTGCTCCTTGAACACGGACAAGTACCAAGCATACTCCCCGCTGTTCCTCCCGACTACGTTCGCGATGTCGTACGGCTTGTCGTTCGCGGCGATCACGTCGACGATCATGCATACCATTCTGTACTTTCGCAGGCAGATCTGGGTCCAGTCTCGTCGCTCGCTGTCTGAGGAGCCTGACATCCACGCGCGCCTCATGAACCGCTACCCGCAAGTGCCGGATTGGTGGTACGGTGTCATACTGGGTATGTGCGTGATCCTGGATCATCGGTTTATGCTCATCCGAGTCCCTTCATCTGCTTTTAGTGTCAATGTTTGCCTTCGGCGTAATATCCATTGAGATGTGGAATACAGAGTTCCCTGTCTGGGCGTTGATTTTAGCACTGATCATTTGTACGTGTGATGGCAGCTGTCAATTACTGTTGCACTAATCTTGCACTAGCATTTGTATACACCGTACCCATTGGTATGATCCAGGCCATTACCAATCAGCAGATTGGTTTGAAGTGGGTTCCCATGTCTCGATCTCTCCCGGTGAAGCGTGTCTGATTTTGTTAACAGCGTCATCGCCGAACTGATCATCGGCTATGCCTTGCCTGGGAAACCGATCGCGATGATGCTGTTCAAGACATGGGGATACATCACCATGTGTCAAGCTCTTCAGTTTGCATCGGACATGAAGCTGGGGCATTACATGAAGATTCCGTATGTTCCTCCTGCTCACTTTGTTTTGCTTCCGATAACGTCTCACACGACCCGCATCGTCAGCCCTCGGCCTATGTTCTGGGCTCAGGTGATTGCCACTGTCATTGCCGGGACTGTTCAGCTCGCCGTCCAAGCGTGGATGTTCGATAACATACCAGACATGTGCCAAGCTACCCAGAAGGACGGCTTCACAGTGCGCATGAGTTCATTGACTGTCCCATGCTGCTATTGACCGCTTGTGCAGTGTCCGTCAACGGAAGTATTTGGCACAGCCTCCTTCGTCTGGGGCGTGATTGGACCGAAACGTCAGTTCTCCAAGGGTCAGATTTATTAGTATGTCTGCTGAGGAATTTTCTCGCCGACGTTATACTGACGTATTGTTTAGCGGCCTAGTCTTCTTCTTTGTCGCTGGCGCAATATGCCCACTTATCTCATACCTCATCTCGCTGAAATACCCCAACTCTATCTTCAAATATGTTAACTTCCCTGTAATATTTAACGGCACCCAGCTTATCCCTCCCGCTTCTGCTGTTAACTATGTTCCCTGGACCATCGTGGGCTTCACCTTCAATTACATCATCCGACGTCGCCACTTCTCTTGGTGGACGAAATACAACTGTACGTGGCTTGCTCGTATGCGACGTGAAAAAATGTTCTCACACCATTCCAGATATATTGTCGGCAGCATTGGACTCAGGCGTCGCAATATCTGTAATTCTCATTTACTTCTGCTTGCAATACCCCGCCAATGGCAGCATTGGCGAGAAAACTATCCAATCCTGGTGGGGCAATACCGTGTACAAAAACACTTCTGACTACAAGAGTACCCCGTTGCTCTCAGTGGGAAATGGGACGTTTGGGTGCGTGTACTTTCCGTCGCTCTTGCTTGCTCAAGGACGCTCATTTTTCGGTTTGCTAGTCCGAAGAATTGGTAGATGAAAGAATTTATGACGGGCAATTTGTGTGAGTTATTTATGAGGCGGTTGCTTTCATGTACTTTTGCTGTTGCATACCCTAGTGTGTGTTAGATCTAGTTGCTCGTGTATGACGCTGTTTTGGACTATAGAGAAGTTGAAGATACGAAAGCTTCTTGTACGTTATTATATATGCTTCAGCTTCCGGTCCTCTCGTCTTGCTGGTCTGAATCATTGCTTGCATGCGATTCGAATGGTTCACGCAAGAAGCGGAAATCCTTGATGCGTGATAACGCGGTCTGTTGAGCTAGTCGTCCGTGCCGCATGGCTCACATGTCGCCGCTCGAAAAGTTGACATGGCTGTGCGTTATCACATAGCATGGTTTCCGCATGAAGACCGTCCGGAGCGGATAGAGCTCCTCGGATCGAGCGACATTGAGGATGAGAATGGACACTGAGCCGGCATGACCCTCTACAAACGTCATCAACGTCACAGCGCTTGACCGTCAAACTCCAAGGCCAACAACGTCATCCTATTCTGACGCTCTGTGCTGAACTCTCATGTGAGATGCAGTATGCAGCGGGAGAAGGCGTTGCGTCTGCGATACTAGTACTGCGACTTGGCCGAACATCACATTTGCGTGTTCCGAGAGCTCTATCAGACACGAGTTTACGGCATGCTGCAAGACACGCACACCACTGTTCGTATGCTTATCGTCTGTCATTCATTATCAATCATATCAGTGCCACTAGACACGTACCACACACCTTCTACGCCGTCACGAGCTAGACCTGGATGATCTGCACGTCTAGCCTTAACATGTTGTCAAACGCAATCGCAGTTCGGGCTTTATGAGACACTGATGCCTTCATCCCAAGAAGTACCTTCGTTTGCCGTATCACCTGCGAGTCCAGAATGCCAAACGAGGCCTAGCGTTGATTCTACAGCAACGTTCTCATCAAGAATCGCTTTGCGAAATATAACAATTGCAGGCAGCGAGGATAACTGATGTGAAGGAGTTATCGAAGCGGGTTATTCGGTGAAGCATGTAGCAGCTGTCTGCAGTACAAATGATAGTAAACCGTGTTGATCCGTGACCCCACTAATGACCTATGCATCGTCTGGGACAACACCAGATGAGGTGATCGTCACCTTTTGCTTTGGATAGCCGGACTCCGTGCCGGCGGCTTCTATCTTCTTCACGACATCCATACCCTCAGCGACCTCGCCGAACACGACGTGCTTGCCGTCCAACCACGACGTCACAGTAGTGGTGATGAAGAACTGTGCCATGTCCATGCAATTCAGGGCGCTGCAGGAATATAACTGATCAAAAGGGCCGCACCTGAGAGCCATTTGTGTGAGGTCCAGCGTTGGCCATCGACAGCACACCCGGCTTGTTGTGTCGCATTAGGAAATTCTCATCTACGGAAAAGTCAGGAGACATGCTACTCGGCTCGCAGGTGACTCAGCTGACCGCGGAATTTCTCTCCGTAGATTGACTTTCCGCCGGTACCGTTGTGCCGTGTGAAGTCTCCGGCTTGTAACATGAACTGAGACGAGCAATGTGACAAGGTCAGCCAACGATTTCACAGCAAGAGATCACAGACTAACGTTCGGGATTATCCGATGGAATGTGCTTCCGGCATATCCAAACCCATGCTGGCCCGTCGCAAGTTCACGGAAGTTCCTCGCGGTCTTTGGGACGACGTCGTCGAACAGCTTGAACACAATGCGGCCGGTGGGCTCCGCATCAATGGCAATGTCGAACTTTGGCAAAGGTCCATTCAACAGAAACTCTTGTGTCAGCTGTAATAAGATGTACCCACAAAGACCTTAGACCTAGAGATTCAGAGAAAGCAATATGTGATGAATGCCAAGCGGAGAATATGAGAAAAGTGATGATTCACATTGGGGTGCTTGAAGCTGAGGCGGAGGTAGCAAAGCGGCGCAAGAATAATGCCATTTTGAATTGACGGGTCAGAGGGAAAGGACGAGGAGGAGAAGATTGTCAGTCGCGGCGGAGAGAATGCCGGGCGTCACTCACGTGATGTCAAAATACGAATCAGGATTGTGGCTGGAGGGTGGCTTGCGGCAATGGCGCTGAACTGCGGGTGTCTGTGATGATCATCTCTCTTTATATCGCTCTTGAGGACTCGTTCTTGACATGTCTCATTTCATCCTATGCGTGACTTGGAAGCAGATTCTGGAAGCTGCGATGTCCATAAAGGGCGAATTGCATATCATCTTCCAAGAGAAATGACCGTACTGGCGAACCCGGAGGCGAAGCTTAGTAGCAGGGTGACTTCTCCAACACCCCGAACAATCTAGACCCTGCTGCAGTTCGTCCTCGAGGACGAAGCTAGCTTGAGACGGCACGGGGCGGCACAGACCTCCCGACACGTGCTGATACGCGATTGTCTACGATACAAGCGGCGGCGGCGGCTCAATAGCGAGAGGGCGTCTTGGTGCCGCCAAGGGAGACGCGGGAGATCTCTCGCAGATTGGAGGACTGAATGTTGCGGTGAGAACGCTCGAGCTTGAAGATATGCGCAAGGGTCCTGATCTACACTCAGCAGGTCGCGGCTCTTCAGCTGAGTTGTCGTGTTCAGATAGGCTTGAGTTGTGCAGTGGTTGGGTCTAGACTCTAGATCGCTCACTATTCGAAACCGTACCGAGCCTAATGTTGCAAGTCCCCAACACGAGGATCTCTTGACGTGTGCGTGATTCATATAATCACGTCTCACTGAAAGCTGATGTGGACAAAGAAGACAATAAGCCGCCAAAGAATGGGTCAAGGATAGCGCGACCATGTCATATGGATCCTTTAAGCAGCCTCCATGTATCGGCGCGATTGCTCATCTGCGCAATGTACAGGCTATATCACGTCATAGAAGACCAGAACAACATGATCGTGCCGTTCAGACGGTCTTCAGAAGTGGAACCATTGTATGAAGCTCTGGAGCGGGCTGACGCTAGGCTGAAGCCACTCAATTGGTGGCCACGGTGAAATAAGTACGTTTTGCGGCAGCTAATTCTATTTCATCGCCTTCCACAACAATGCTTCGTCCTTCTCCATTCCAGTGGAAGCCCCGCAACAATAAAGTTGAGTCTAGACATCGACTATGGGCTACCCGAGGTACACCCGCAAGGTAGTTAGAATGCTGGTGAAGTCATATCAGAGAGCGGGAGAGGTGCTACATGGGAAAACCGACCAAAACGTCGGTCAGTAGATCCATATTGAGTTTGAGGGTGCCGCCCCTTATGCATCTGTCGGGCCCGGTGGATGCATCTCACCGATTCATTAACTGATCGCGCAGCTGCACTAATGGGTCCGAGAATGCTCGCATTGCAATGCGGCCCGGACAGAGGCAACTACAAGACAGATACAAAGAAATGAGGAAAATTTCATGTATATACGCCAGATATCAGAAGCTACCCTTCGTCAAGTAAACAACGGAAGAAAAGCTGTAGTGGCAAGTCCTGATTTAGGTGCACGTGACCGCGACCAAACGCGCTGGTGGCGCAGAATCTGCTTGAGCAGGACAATATTTGAGCGACATCACGTCATTTAGGCGTGCGTACATTCGTGAGGTATATGCGCACGCTGCACGAGCACACTGGAATGATCCATTTGTTAGGTCGTGGATGATTGTGCCATGCATGAAGCACATTGAACCAGCTCTTAAGCAGGAAAGAGAGAGCCAAACATACATCAACTGCAGTCTTTAAATTTTTGTGCATTGTGGCTCATAATTTCGCCATCCCGTTCATAAATAGGTCAAGTCACAATTGTATCACAGAGTCGTACGATGCTTGACAGGTACATGCTTCTTTTCAGTTTCAATGACCTGATAGTGGTATGCCGGTGGCAACAAGACAATCAGCCGAGGACGCGCTTGAAATTTTGCATACAGTCACTGGCTAAGACAGTCGACATCTCCGGGGACGGTGACTGAGGGTCCAGAAGCAGAAGCTTGGTAGAAAGTAATCGGCACCGTCCACCCCCCACGCCGGCTTAACAGCAATGAACAAGTATTACGGTGGAGGGCGCGAAGAGAAATGTCAGCGGAGTTAGGAGTGCTGCCATGAAGAGACAGTTATGCCAGAACGGACCGCACAGCTGGCATGCGTTCGACTGACTTCCACGCGACTGCCAATTGATGATGTACATCCATTGCGGTGAATGTTCACAAAAAATGACTCAATTACTGACTGGCATGCCGTCCGTGAGATGAGAATATGACAGTACCCAGTGAACCGTATAGTTGAGATGCTGAAGTGCGATTTGATTTATACTATAATGCGGCTACATCTCTGATCTGCATATTATTCTTCTGTAGATAAGGTTGCAGTACTTTTTAAGCCTTTCTGCACAAATTTTGTGCTTGACTTGTGAACTCTGAGGTCTGAGATCTTGAGACCTTGGGGATAGAGAACAATCGATAACCTGACGAAAGCCTGCAGCTGCAGCAGGCTGGTGTTGGAGTATTCGGAAGCTGAAGCGCTGAATTCAACGGAGCGCCCGTTGCGAGCGGCAACCGTTCTTTGTCGCAGGCGCCACCGGAAGCTTGCCCGCGACTGCGCACTCTCAGTCAGCCTCTCACAGCCTCCCAACGCCGCAGTGACCTCTCTCCTTCTTCCGCCATCCTCCTACTACAGTGGAGGTTGTCTGAGGTGCAGTGATAGCTAAGTATGTCGCATTGATGTTGTTATTGTACAGCTTCTGAAGAGACGCCTTCCAGTGATCTTTATCAGCAGATCGTTTCCGCTCTTGACGGCAGCAGGACTGTTCGTCTCAAATCTTCCGACTGTGCATGCGTATTATTGTCAGTATGATAGGTAAGTTCTTGAGTACTTTTGGAGATGCAATCAGCAGTTGATATCTGTATTACGCATAGTTTTGGATACGAACAGTGTTCTCTGCTTTCGCCTGGCGCTCGGATTGGCATTGGCATCGCCATAGGTGGCTCCAGCGTTACTGGTGATTCAGACTTCCGTAGCTCACTGCGTCGCATCTTCTGGCAGGGGTCGCTGGCTTCCTCCTCATCCTCGCTGTGCTAGCCATGCGTCAGCGTCGGATTCGCAGGGCGAACCTCGCTTATATCAACAACGCCGGTGATGTGCCTCAAGCCTACCCTATGCAAGGATCGCCTTATGTGCAGCCCAATACAAACCCTGGGTACCTTCCTGGTTACACCACTCAATTGCCACAGTACCCGCAGTATCCCCAGTATCCAGCCCCGGCGGCACACGATGGCTATGACCCTCGCAGTGGATTTGCCCCGGTGAGCGTTGTACATTCTTCCACGCCTCGGCGCGCTTGACTGACCGATGTCATGCTCGTAGGCCTACCAGCCGCCTCCAAAGTATACTGCACCTCCCGGTCTTCCTCCGTCGGCAGACAAACGTGCTTCTCTCGCTTGACGGAATGTCGATATCTTGCACCTGAATTTGGCTGATCTGTATCTTGTTGTGATGTTTCGTCCCGATCTGCTGTATCTGTCGTGTAATTAGTGGTGTATGCGGCATAATGCTGAATGTGTAGCGTTTGGACCTTTGCACTGCCTTCATACCATGTGTGTTTCGACTGCCTGCTTTAGCGTGGGTACTGGCCGCATACATTCACATCGATCTGCAGGACCGAAGACGAAACGACAACATTTCTTTTCACTGACCATATTCGACGTCAGTGTCGTCCGGGAGACTGAGCGTCTCGCGCTCTCATTTCGTCCGCAACCTTCTCGCGCACCTTAAGGATCGCTACCGCATTCAATTCGTCGCCGCTGCTACACTGACTATCTTCACTCTTTCGGACTTGATGCCCAGCTTATTCTCTCGCACACGCACCAACTCGACCCCGAAGAAATCGTCCAGCGTCCCCGCCTTTGACGAGTTTGGCAGAATCGGCGGGAGGGGGACACCCTCGCCCGTACCCACCGGCAAGAAGGATAAGAAGAAGGACAAAGCGCGGGCCAAGGCTGCCTCGCAGATCGAGCTAGACAGTCCTGAGCTCGTCATCCCCGATGGCATATTCCTGCCGCTGAACCTCGAGTTACCACGTTTCGAGCCGACGACCGACCCGCCCGTTCAGGAGCAGGAGCAACCTCAACCTCACGACTATGGATATTTATCGTATGGGCGGCATGTTGTGCTTGGACTGGAGCAGATGGCACGCTTGGTGGATGTCGTGGGCAATGAGCTGGGGCAGCGGGGTCTCACCACACCATTCATCTTCTCCACGCTCGCACTCGACGTCTCTTCCAATGCTGTCAAGCGACTCATCAAGACATTTCTACGAACGTGCAGCAAGCCGTCGTCAGAGGCCGACCGGCAATGGCGCGAAGAGGCGCGTCTCGCTGGCCCACATGAGCTGGGTATGTGTTTACGCTGGGGGCTCGCACGGGTCGTCCGGATCATGAAGGGGCAGGAGGTGCGCGGACTGGTGTCGTACGAGAGCTACGTTGAATGGAGAGATGCCGAAGCAGGTCCGTCTGAGAGTATTCACGCATTGCTGTCTCATACACTAACGCCCATACAGCATTAAAGTATCCTGAGACACATTTCCAGGCATTCATAGCGCCGCTACCTTCACTGCTACGGTCGATACTGGTCGGGTTGTTTACATTGCTGTCACGGTTTACAGCTCATTCTGCCTCGTCTGGGCACACACCACCGACGCTGTCGTCGCTATTCGGTCCGCTGCTCTTCGGGCTTGGGCCATCGACACTCGCATTCCACCAAGCTTACGTGTACTATCTGCGCGCCACCACCGCCACCGAGCATCTGATCCTGTCGTTTATTCGCTGGCAAGACGTTCCACCAACAAGTGTCGGTGTCGGTGCCAGCGGGGCGCCGTTCATCGGCATACCTACGCGCCTCAAAGCTTGGATCCAGGGCTATCCATCCATGCTGCCTGCCACTGGGAAGCCCGATCGGCGACCCGAACCACGCAGAGGAGCTCGGACAGTGCGTGTGATGAGCGTTCGTCGGAACGTGCGAATGTACTCTCCGGATCTAGTCAAGACGGCCGCAAGCTGGGCACAACGACCAAGGGGTGCCGGGTCGTCAATGGGCGAGCGGGCATTTGCAGGGTCGAAGGAGTGGGACCGCATCGCGCCATCAACACTTAAGCTGTCGCCGCGCTATTCGGATGCGTATCGAAAGCGCATGGACCTGCCGCCGAACTTCCACCCTGACAGTGGCGCAGGTTCTGCGTCATCCTCTATCAATGCGCCATCGCTGACGTCGTCCGTCTCGACAGCATCGTCGACACTGTTCGATGAGAAGGACCATGGTATCCTGGGCGCACGGACGGGGGAGGATCGGTTCAGGAGCCTGACGGATCTGAAATGGGGTGAATTCGAAGTCATGGGGTTTGGTGATCTCGGGGCCGACGATAAGAAGTTGCAATTTGATCTCACTGAGGGCGCACGAGCGGTGAGTCTGTGCTTCCGTATCCAAGCGGTCGTCCACGAGGCGAGAAAGAGATAATGTCTCATCACGCATGTCGTCTGTAGGCACGAGCTGCCAAGCGCGCCACTTTGACATGGCAAGACTTCTCATCGACCGGCTTCTCACGTACGGACGACCCTCTCAAGGCTACACTGGAATTCAGCACGCCGATCACGACGACCGTCAACTCCTGGCCAGCGCATTCGGTCGAGATCCATCGGAAACTGAAGAAGACACAGAAGTCGCTACCTGCGTTTGGATGGGACACGGAGCCGGTTCTGGGCCCTGAGGAAGTGATCGAGGAGGCGTTCGTGGATGTGTTCTGTGATCTGGTGTACGGTGGAGGCTGGATGGATATTGAGAGATGCGAGGAGGTGGACCGCGAGTGCAATTGGGCGTTGGTGAGTCATGTCATTATTTATGTATGCAATGCAACTAAGTTTCCATGGACGTCGTTTGTAGGTGGAATTTAAATCATTGCCAATTAACAAAACGGCCACAGTCCCTGGCAAGTCCGATCCTCGGACATCGACCACACTTATGCTCTTTGAGGAGTTCGTGCCGCTCGAGTACAGGCAACAATTGGCCGAGTATGGCAGGACCAGGCGCAAGCTACCACGCCTATTCGGCACGACGTCAAAATCCAAGCAGTGGAAACCTGCTCCTACGCTGAACGGCAGACCGTACGTAATCGGGCACGTTCCTAACAGCCCTTCCTACCGCGAACTTGAGTTCGAAGGCTTGCTGCGTGAAAGCGGAAGTGCTACCAAGATCCTCTCCCTTACCCGTAGTCAGGCACCAGGAAGAGACTCTCCAGCTCAAAGCGACATCACAACACCCAGCCAGGCATTTCACACACCGGCGATCAATGGTTCGCTGCGGAGCCCCCCACCTTTGCGTCTGGACATCAAAAGTGCAAATTCACCGACACCCCGGCCACCGAAGCCCCAGAACGCTGACTCACCTGTACCGCTACAGCGACGAAACTCGCGCTTCCGGCTGCCGGTTAGCCCAGGAGGGAATCGCAGGTCGATGCTGATTCCCGCTGAGTATGAGACCGTAGACTTTCATGCTCGCCTGGCCAGCTTCTCCGATGAGGAAATCGGGGACCCAACAGCGGGTGACAAGCACAATCGACGGCAGTCAAAGGACGATGCATGGGTGGATATTCTGGTCGCGAATCATAATCGCCGGATGAACGCACAGGACGCAGAGCTGCGGGTTCAAAGGTTGCAGGGTCGTCGGTCGGATCCAGAAATGGCGAGCCAGGAGGTTTCGGAAGTACTCGCTGCAGTGCGCGCTACTGTGCTTTCCGATGAGGATGTGATGGAACCTGTCGATACACCACGAGATCTCGATCGCGAGTTCGCAAGTGATGACTACACGACCGCGGGCGACTCGGAGCTCACGCGGGACCGAACATCATACCCAGATCGCGATTCCGCGTTATATGGCGACGATGAAGGAGGCGAGGGGCATACCCCACCCGTCCGGACAAGACGTCTGGGATACTTCGATTTGCATCCGGAACGTCGACAGGTCCTCCTCGACAGTAGCAACAGCAATTTTCCAGGTAACCGGTCGTCATTTGATAGTGACGCGTTGTCTCAGGATGATGTCGTTGGCACGTCAGATAGCCGCTACGTATCTGGACTCGTCCCAGGCTTGCGTAGAGACGAGATGGTATCATCGACGTACTCAGAGGGAGAGGGTGAGTTTGAGACGACCCCGAGTCCCTCGCTTGTCAACGTATCAGATACTTCCAGCATATCTGTGGAGGCGAAGCGCCCTCCGTATATCAGCACGATCCCTCCACCTAACGCCAATACGGTATCCCAGAATGCCACCCCTTCTGGCTCTGGCTCTGGCTCTGCAGTCAAACCCGTCGCAAGTAGAACTGCTACGCTTATTGAGATGTACCGCGAGCGGGAACGGACCGCGGACAGCCAGAATGCACCTCACGCACCAGCCTCTCGGCTGCCTGTCCGGTCGGCGTCATTGGGTTTGGGCGCTGCGGCAAGCCAGATCCGTCCACCTCCTCAGGCTGCCACGCCTACGGCTGCCGTCTCGGAAACGGACGAATCGGACGTGGATTCTGAACTGTACCTGGAAGAGCCCGAGCTGAACCTGCCTTACCGTTATGTCCATGGCGCTCCTCTCCACAATGTTTTAGAAGAGCCAGAGGAAGAAGACGTGGACTAGCGCGCGCGCCGTATTTGGTCTGTCTGTCTGCCTCACCAGCCAGTTCCTCTTTGTTTCTTCTTCTTTCATGCTTTCTCATCTTCTCATTCGCCTGTAACATCGTGTACGCAGGCCCACCACTCTCTTCTATTGGCCTTAATTTGGACAGACAATCGTAACTATTTAGCCTCCCCTTCTACTGTGTAGGCATGCATTTCTTTCTTGTTACTCTGGCTAGACAAGTGTACTGGCCAGTTACTCGTGCTCTACGTTCCCTCATCATGTTCTTGTGTGCGTCCATGTTCAGTACTTGTCCTCTTAGTGCGATACCACGGCGCCCATAAGGCCCTGCATATCTACAGCAACCTAGTCAATGCTTTTCTCACACAGTACTTTTGGTGGGGATACATCCACTTCATGTCGCTCTCAATATGGCTCATCTCTGTTACAATATAAGATAGTTATGCATGCGTTTCAAACATGTGCTCACCGATGGACGAATCTGCTACTAGGGTGAGGCCTTGAGGCGTGACAGAGATTGGTTCCTTCTGGGTGAACAGAGCTAATTTAGGATGAGATCATACAATTCGGGACGTTCAAAAACGTGCTAGGTTCTGTGAGGCCTCGCAGCCTGCAGGAAGTGATGTGCCTCCTCCCATATCATCCTCTCGCGTTCCTTACTCTTCTCCTGGCCCCGTCTCACCTCTTCCGCACTCACAGCTTTCCAGTCTTCGTAATCGGTCACGATGCCATCTCGCCACGCATCTTCAACCTCGGGTGGGGGCGCATCGCTGTATACTTGCCTCGGCATGATCTCCACCATGTCTTCCTTCCGTCTTTCCTCCTCTGTGACGATGGACCCAACATTTATGTCGTCGACGGCGACAGTTCTGATGTCTTCGCCGGGGAAGACGTCGCGGAGGATAACGTCAGCGACAGCGTACGCATCTATCATGGTGCTCGCGAGCACCCCTCGGGCGCCCGTGGCAGCCCAGCCGCTGGCATACGCGTTGCGCACGGTGAGCCCCTCAGAGTCGATAACGTGTCCGTCGACGGTGCGTATGTGGCCGAGCGCAGGGTCATACCACGCAGCACTCGGATCCGAACGCTGGCCCAGGGATGTGATCACAAGCGAGGTTGAGACCGTCGATGTTTCGCCGGTAGGCACCGCATGAGAGGACGGGTCAAGGATCGTGTGTGCCAGAGTCAGCTGTGCTTCACTGGAGCAGTCGGCTGCGGATGGGCCTGAGGGCAGGACTAGACCGGTGGGCGAGCGGAAGAAATCGAGTGACCAGGTCTTGCGCGTGGAGCCGGGCTTGTTCTTCGAGCCTTTTTGAAGGAGCTGCAGCGTGCGCGACTGCTGGCGGGTGAGTGGCTCCGCGCCGGCGGGAGGCGCCTTAAGCAGTGCGGGGTCGAGCGGGAGCAACGACGCGTCGGGGAGATTCATCATCTCGCGGAGCTCCTTGGTCGTGAATGCGGCCTGGTGCGGGCCGCGCCTGCCGACGATGGAGACGTGTTCGATTGAGGATTTTTCGAGGACGGCGAGGACGTGATCGGGGACGTCGTATTTTGCGAGGTCGGAGGGGGGAGTTAGCAGCATGCGCGCGACGTCGAGCGAGACGTTGCCCTGCCCGATGAGTGTGACGTGCTTCAGCTTGTCTAGGGGCGGGGTGGGTGGATTAGATGGGTGCGCGGTATACCAGTGCACGAGAGATAGTGCGGGGACGCAGTGGGAGGAAGGTGGGAGGGATGGGTGCAGGATGGGCACGGTGCATCCTGTGGAGATGAGGAGGTGAGTGTAGTGTGGGAGGATGGCGGAGAGAGGCAACGAGAAGGCGTGAGGGATGGTAGATGGTGTGTCGATGTTAACATTTCCGAAGAACCTCAGACGTGGGTCTTCTGCGGCCGCGTCGAACTTGTGTATACAGTTCTAAGTAAGGTGTGAGACTGGATATCGGAGACAGAGCGTGATCAACGCTCACCTTGACTTCGGGATGATCTGGCGCGACGCCGTATCTCACGAGCCCGTGGGGTGCCCAAAGACGATCGTACATGTGGATTTTGAGCATGGAGGCCTGCGAGCTGGTTGGTGGGAGCAGGGACAACAACCGCGAGGCGACATAGAATGAGGAGGGACCAGCACCGATGATGGCTAACTTCACGGGAGCCATTTTGAATTGCTATGTCGCTTGCCTGTATGAACGGAGGATTGATAAGCCGAATCGGTGGTGATCAGGAAGAATGGTGTTTCTACAGTTGCGAAGATAGACATGAGCAGTTGCACAAATCCCAAGTCTCGGGTAATGAGACTCAGAACCCGTTTGTATGGAATCACATCACCCTCAAGCCTGTACGTTGATAGCCTGAAGCGCGTACCACTGAATACCATCTGCGGCAAAACAATGATGGTTTAATGGCTCCACGATCAACGAGCATTTTGACAGCATACTCGTGGACGCAACGCTGTCGCGGGCAATGTCCCGCTTTTACAAACCTCCCATAGAGCAACTCCAAGTTTTCCCAGTACTCAAAAAGGCAGCCGAAACTTGATCTCTGCTTCACGTGTGACACTCACCAGTAGGTACCAAAAATCGCTCGCCGGGAAGCGAGGCTCCTCGCGTTCTCGCTCTGAACAAGCGTGCAGTCCTGATTTAACTGAATCAGTCTATTATATATGGGCTACATTTGCGCCTTGCTGCGAGGATTGCGTGTCTTACCTCAGGAAACTGTGAGACTTTGTAATCCCAGTCATTTGATTCCTTGGCTGGGATTGGACGAATTGTGATTCGCCCCTTACCTCTGTAAAGCACGTGATCGTGTTGTGCGTTCGTACTTCGCGTTATTTGGTGAGCTTTCGGGGTAGTTGCCTCACAAATGACATCGGTGTAAGGTATCAATAATGCCTAACGGGCCCTCCTAGAATGAAGAAAAATTGTAGTGAAGAGCGTAGCAACAATGCCTGCGAACTTACATGCCTTCAAATAACGGGATGCGGCGATAATCGGTTTTCCTCGGCACGTGGTTATGCGACTCTCGCTGAGTCTCGCTGAATCCTCGATGCCCGACGAACGCCTCGACCATCATGTCTTCCTCCCTCATCGCCCGCTCCGCCGTCAACAAACGCATCGCGTCTGCCTTCGTGCGCAGGTCGCTCTCACCTCTCGCAGTACATGGTGCGTACAGTGCGGCACTTGCGGGTCAGGGTAAAGTCTCATAATCTACGCAATATGACTGGTGCACACCATTCCCCCCCGCATTGTGGTCACTCCTCACCTCGCTCAATGCATTGCACACACTCGACCAACTTCATGTGAATGCCATACATCATGCAGCGAGGAACTCTTCCGAAACTGCATACGTTCCCGGTGGTCGTGCGTATCTCAGACCTCCTTAACGCGTGACCGCCGACAGAATATCTTTCGTGCAGCCATATACAAGGGCACCGTCAATGACGCTACCACCTTCCCCCCGCCATCGAAGACGCATGGCTCTTATCACTGGGACTTTGAGCGTCTCCTGTCTGCCGGCCTCGTCCCCATGACCATCGCTGCATTCGTAACGAGCCCCAGCAACTACCCATTGCTGGACGGCCTCCTGGGCATCACCTTGGTGATGCATAATCATATTGGTGTGAGTTTCTCCATCCTCCGTTGTGCGAGTCTGGAACGAGAGAGCTGTGCCCCGCCTCCTGTGTTCCGCATGTTTTGCAGTTCACACCAATGCTCGATGCTGATCGCATCCTCTCTAGTTCGATGCGGCCCTGGTTGACTACCTGCACCCGAGGAAGTTCCCCATTCTTGGACCTACCGTCTCATGGATTCTTAGGGCAACCACCGTCGGTGTTCTGGTCGGCGTGTACCAGTTCAACACCAATGATATCGGTGAGCTTTCTTCCCTTGATGCATCGTTCTGTACAGCATCTTCATGACTGGCATACGATTCTGCACATATGTGTTCATGCTGAACCATTGCTGACAATTTTCGTCGTCAGGTCTCACCGAGCTGATTGCCAAGGTGTGGCACGCATAAACTATGAACGGCAGATGCAGTGCGCTCTGCGGTTCAACATTTCGGCAGCAGGAGGATGGATGGGTCGTGCAGATGAGTTGTCTATAGTGGTTCGTGTATTGGCGAATGTAAAGCAGACAGGGCCTTTCTATTCGTGAGCGGGATGTATCCGTGCGATGAACCTGTCGACGTGAAGTCAGCATCAGCGCAATGCATTGCCCGCTTATAATCAAAGATTCCTATCGCGATCCGCCTATACCTTCTGCGAAGTGCTCGACGCTGATGGTTGTAGAATATGCATCGCCACTGCCACTTTAGCGAAAACGTTGTACGCGGGCGCCAACTGAAACTGCTGTGCATTTGTGCCTCATTCGCGCTACCGCCGGGCGCATGATTGAGGGTTTTATTGATATGGGTATGTGTTTGCCTGCATATTGGTGGTGCTAGATCGTTCAGCGCTCACCAGAATATGATGTACTATGATAAGTCCTGTGTCTCATCGGTGTTTTGCTCCTTTCTTGAGCACAGGGTAGATACCTTCCTCAACGGTCGGTAACAAGGCGCATGAGGTACTCGCCTGTCGTGCTTGTCAAGGAAACCCTGGCATATCCTTGAACTGCAAAGCCTGGGAGAAACAACGCATGGATAATTCAATCAGCGCTGTTGAAGTGAGGTGTGTACCCATGAAGGTACTTGTTTCCTATAACGTACCGGATGAGCCATGCTGATGGCATTCAGACGGACAGAATATACCTGATTCAGTTCTCGTCGACTACCGATATTTGGCTTCTTTCTGTAGCAGGGGTTGCTGTTCTCCTCAAGAAGAAACAGCATAATCCATGAGGCACCGGCGAGTCACGCTTGTCAAGCAATCCCTAGTACGTCCCTGAACTACGTCGCCTCAGAATACAACGCGGCCTGATTCTTATTCAGCCTACAAAGGCTACCCTTACGTATTTGCACGCCACTGTGTCAAAGATGGCGCGTGTATCGCCTCTCGCCCGAGGATATATATGCAAGCGTGCCAGCCTGGAGCCTCACCTATCGCCTACCTTCAACTCACCAATTATCCACCATTATCTGCCGCATCACCTACTATGGCGAACCCAGCAACCACCATTGCCGACAGTGACTATGCGCGAAAGCGCAGGGAGATCTTCACGCTCGTCAAAGATCTGAGGGCGATGGGGTATGTATGCGATCATCGGCTGGCCTATGTACTTTGGCAGTTTCGTGTGCTCATGATTATGCTACGATCAGCGCGGAAAGCGACATCGACATTCCCAAGATTGCCGTGATTGGAGGACAGTCTGGTATGTAGTCATGCTCGTAGAGTTGGAGGAGGCCGTTGCTCATGCATCGTCACGGTAGCTGGAAAGAGTTCTCTCGTGGAAGCCGTTACAGGAGTCGGTCCATGACAATATTACCGTGTATGCTCGTGCTTATGTCATTGTAGATCAACGTTCCGCGCGACAGCGGCACTTGCACCAGGCAAGGCTACGCTTGCAGTGAGGTCAAAGCCTTAGCTTACCATCCTCACTTCGCAGGTGCCCTATGGAGTGCACGATCCTGACGACTCAGGCCGAATGGTCCTGCCAAATCTCTCTCAAGACGAATATCTACAAGAAAGGCACGGAGATCCCTCGTACTAGCAAGAAGATGACCTTCAGTCCGTGCCTGACCGCCAACGACAAGGACAAAGTCGAGATCTGGCTACGCCGCGCACAAGCAGCCATCCTCAGCCCCCACTCCTCATACGAGATGTTCAAAAGCATGGATTACGAACAGCTCAAGGCTCTCACGAAGTCGGACACCGAGATGTTGAAGTTCTCGAGAGATGCGGTCGTGGTGGACATTGAAGACCCGGATGGCACCGACCTGTCATTCATTGATCTCCCAGGTGCGAGCCCACGCATCCGAGTGCTCAGCAGAACTGACGGTTGTTCTGTCAGGCCTCATCCAGAATGAGAAACCTGAGATAATTGCGATTGTCAAGAGCCTCGTTGAGCAGTACGTCCAGGACGAATCCACGGTTGTACTCGTGACGATTCCAGCGAACGGTCAGTAATGCCTTCGGCGAGAGCTATCTGGCGTATCTCACTCCGCGACAGATGACTTGGAGAACCAACAAGCTGCCCTCCTAGCACGGGAAGCCGATCCAAAGGGCAAGCGAACGATAGGTCTGCCTTTCATCATCCGGTCCGAAAGTCAGAACTGAGCTGATGTGCGATGCGACAGGCGTCGTCACGAAGACAGACACCCTGGGAGAAGGATCCATTGGGCTGCGCCAGAAGTGGTTGGAGGTGTTCCAAGGGAAGACGCATCAGCTCGCGCTCGGATACTACGCGGTGCGACTTTCCGATGACACCGAGCGGGGCACGAAAACTCGACAGGAAATGAACGCGATTGCTTCCCAATTTTTCGCTAGCAATGCGCCATGGAAGGAGCTGTTGGACTCCGGTCATCTTGGAATTCCGAATCTGATCCATGACATCAGTTCCGTGCTCATGGGTATTATCCACGACGCGTTAGTAGTTGACATCTCTGTTTGTCACCATATGCTCATTGCATGTCCCCAGGATCCCAAAGCTCAGAGAGCAGATCCAAGCCAAGCTGCAGGAATGCATCCACGATATAGAACAGTTGCCGGAGGAAGTCACTGTGGACGCCACAACCGTGGTGCTCAACCGCGTCTCGAGCTTCTGCACGGACCTTCAGGGCGACGTGTACGGGCGCAACGAGAGCAAGGACTTTGTCCACAAGAGCCGTGCCATCTACAAGAAGTTCAAGCTTACCATCCGCCAGACGGCACCGGATTTCCGACCCTTCATCGATCACTCGCAATATGTCGATCCCGGAGAGCCAGTTTCCGAGTCTGAGAGATACGACAAGGACATCCAGAGTGACAAGCTGCGCTCTTCCAACCCTCCGATGGACTTGACAGGGGTTCGTCACGTAATTGAGGAGTGAGTGGTCCTATTTTAACAAACTTACATATACTGAGTCGTTGACAGTACCACCGGTTGGGAGCTCCCTCACAACGTGCCATATGAGTCGAAAACACGCCTCATCAAGACATTCATAGAACAATGGCCCGCCCCTGCTCACTCCTGTTTCGATGATATTTCCTCCGTCCTGTACGAGTTCGTCGATGAGAAGATCGCACTTCATTTCGGACGATTCAAGGCGCTCGAGCAGCATATCGCGTGGGTCCCTTTCATGCATGCGTGATGCTATGATATACGCTAATGCGTAGTAACATAGCGCGCTCATCAGGACAGAGGCCGCGGAGCGCGTGAAGCTTGCGTTGAAAGCCGTCCGGGACGTGCTGGAGCGCGAGAAGTTCCCGTACATGACGCAGAATGGACACTATCTGGAGTCTTCGCGTGAGAATTGGCTCGCGCATTACAGGACTTTTCGCAACCGAGTGTATCACGTCAATTATTCGTCCCACGGGGAGGCCGCCGAAAGCCGGTGTGAATCCCCTATCTCCATCGCCATCTCATCAACTCCGGGTGACAACTATGAAGATGAAATCATAGTAATGGCGGACGTGCGCGCCTACTTCCAAGTCGCATACAAGGTACGACACTCGCTTTTCGACCACCCTCTGCGACGTGGCTGAGCGCGTCCATGTTCAGCGCATAACCGACAACATCCCCATGACGATCCAGCGAGACCTGAATCAAGAACTTGTGGATGGCTTGTACAACCGCATCGTCTCCAAATTGGGTCTTAGTAACGCGGATGCAGCGCAGCGTCTCTCCGAGCTGCTGGACGAAGATCCTGCGGTGATAGCGCTACGCGTGCAGCTTGTGACGACGAGGAAGCGGTTGGAAGACATCCAAGCGAAGCTCAATGATTTCGTCCTGTGATGCTTGGTGATGATTCAATATTCATGCTGCATGCGATGCTTCTCCCCGCTCTGAATACTCGTTACAATGCTTTATATCATGACGTCTCCCGCCGCAAATGACATGTCCGGCGCTAAGTGTAACCCAGCCATCTCTTGGAGTTCCAATGTTGGTTAGTTTGGTCCTGCAGTTCATGCACATGTATCATCAATGTATCCATTAGACGTATGAAGTCGGGCACGTGACCGTGTCTCGCCTACGCGTTGTGTCTGAGGGAGGTTCGTTGGCCCCACTACTCTCTGCATCGGTTTAACGCGTCGTGTTTCTAGTAGTGGTCTGTGTTTTCCCATCAGCGACTGACGGGTTTTCATCAGCCAGCAACTAATAGCTCTGAGGCATCCATTGACGTCCTCGAATTCAGAATGGGTCCTCTGCCGTTGGAGTTCCTTTCTACCAGCGCTGTCAATGACGACTCACCCACTCAATGCTATCATCTCTTCCCGCTGGAGATGCAGGAACAGATAAACTTTGTATGTCCTTTCTTTGGTGACTTCCTTGTCACTGTTGACCTCATCGCTATCAGACGCGTGCCTATGAATGGCATTGGAATTTGGCCAACGGCCGCTGATAGTGTTAAATAGTGAGTAGTAGTTTTCTTCTCATCGCTCCCCTGCTCACGCTAGTGCCACAGTACGCCCAGACATGTGCGCCCTCATTCAAGCACGACGTTGGATTCTGATTCCGACACGCAGTGCTATCGACAGCATTTACGAGATGTCTGAGCACAATTACTCATGCGGCATCGATGATCGCCGGAGCAGCTACCCAGTACGTTGACTACATCTGTGATAAATGTATCGTGACCTCATCCAAGCTTTGCTAGCTTTATGACGGTAAACTGTACGAGTATGAGCTGGTCCCGACCGGACTTGATGTCCCACTGTACAGTCATAAGCTCGACCTTCCGTGCCACAATGTCCCGTACGATGATTTTCCCCATGTCCTCTCCCATGCACATCCCTACTTCGTCATTCTCCACTTCACCCATGTGGTGACCAGCACCTTCCCTTCTATTCCACTTCCTCATCAAATTGAAGATGAAGTAGCAGAGAATCTGGCTTCAATAGCAACCACATGGGAGATTGCTGCTCCTGCACCATTTCTGGCTCCCTGCATGCCACAGCATTCTCAATCTGAAGCCAGCTTGGATGAAGCTATTCGAGATGAGTCTGGGTCCTATATGGCATGGCATACCCAAATCAACTTACCTTCCGACATATCATCCGCTTGTCTGGATGTGGCCTGTATACCCATTGCCCCAGTCAGTATTCCAGCCTAGCTGAGCTTTGTGCAGTCCATGGAGAGCACCACATCAAAGGATAAGAGTGAGCAGGTGTCCACTGACAAGCCTGAGGCTCGAGACCGCATGCTCAAAGCATACAGAGCTGAGCCCTGCCGGGATGCTCAGCAGCTCCTCGCAGATGGCATCAAGCTCTCCAATATTCTTCAATGCAGTCGGTGGCCTGATCCCGCGTATTATAGCAGTCATGATTGGGCATGGAAGAAACACTCCATCAAGCTGTGGGAACCGTTGATCGAGGCAGAGAGTCCTCAAAAACAACAGACGATGTGCGATAAGCTGCCAGGCATTAGTAAGAACGAGGCGGAGATGAAGCCGGCTGAGGAGGCCAAGACGAAAGGTGTCGCCTCGGAGGGCAAGGTGAGAGTTTGCTTCGTATCAATACTACCACTACAATTATCACTCATCGTCAAAAAAGCAGAGGGGCATCGAGAAGTTGCAGAAACCGAAGAAAAAGACGACTACGACGACGACGATGATGATGGTGACGACGATGACTACAACAAAGGTGAAACACTCGTGCTTTTTGACAGCAGCAGCAGCACCAGTGGCACCAGCAAAGCGACGATTCAAGAAAAAAGTATAATTTCGCTGCTAGTGTGCTGGCTGCATGGTCGGGCTCGTCTCTCATTTTTCTGCTGCATGGACTTTGGAAGTGCACTGTGTCATGTATGCCTCATTGTTTAGAATTCAATGCTGCGTCTGAGCCCACGGCCCCAGGCAGCTGCGCCCATGGAGAGGATTATTAATGAACAATATGACAACAGCGTTGAATGAAAGTAAGCCGTGAACAACATGACCTGCGCAAGTACTGCACGGTAGCGTAGGGCTGCTTCTTAGGCGGCCAATGTGGCTGTTGTGGCCGCACAGCATTCTACATACAATAGCGTTATCTGCGACGTGGCTATGAGCGCATCCATGTTCGATACCGTGCCCATGACGATTCAACGAGACCTGAATCCTGAACTTGTGGATGGCCTGTACAACCGCATCGTCTCCAAATTGGATCTAAGCAATGCGGATACACCACAGCGTCTCTCCAAGCGGCTGGACGGAGATTCTGCAGTGAAAGCGCTGCGCGTACAGCTTGTGAGGACGAAGAAGCGGTTGGAAGACGTCCAAGCGAAGCTCAATAATTTTGTCCTGTGATGCTTGTTGACGATTCATGCTGCATAGGATACTTTCCACCGCTCTAAACACTCGTTACCATGCTTGATACTATGACGTCTCCCGCCGCAAATGATATTTCCGGTAGAGTAAGACGTATGAAGTCGGAGGATAGTACGGGAAGAACATACTGGGAGCAGCGCGCCAACTTGAGCGCTTGATCAATCCCTACCAGAGCTCAATGAAGAGCTAGTGAACGCGCAAGCAGACACCTTGCTGCGTTCAACAAATAGCAGCTTCGCACCTGCTCGGCAGGGCGCGCATTTCTCCGCTATGGCAAACGCCATCTTCTTCTTCTGTCCTGAGAACGTTCGTGCGTTGGTCAGTCACGTGACCAACACCTAAACAATAGTGCGGGAAAACCACCTCGTTGTGGGCAGCCTCGAGGCAAGCATTGTTACTCCAGCAAAAAGTCTCCGCGCTTCCAGGTATCCAGATTCTAATAGTCATGCTAGTAAGTGATCTGCACAAGTACTGCGCGGTAGCGTAGGACTTGTTTCCTAGGCTGACAACGTGGTTGGTTGGCTGTTGTGGCCGCGCGGCGGTCTACACAATAGCGTCAACTGATAGAGCTTCCGAGCTGTCCGCCGTTCCTGTCTGTCGGACTTACTGACCGAGCGTATGTGTGTCACGTAGTGAAGCGGCCGGCATGCTTCCGATTGCTCCTGCCAGTGCGCTTGCACGCAGGCACACACACGCAAGCACGCACCCAAAGTACCGGTCAATCAAAACCAATTGCACTTCTTCCAGGTGCGACATTGCGTTCTCAATGTCCGCAACAATAAGCAACAGCAGCAGCGACCATCCAGTGCCTATCTCACCGTGACGCGCAATCGCAGCAGTCTGCGCGCCGTAACGAGGGCGCCGTCCCTCCGCTATTGTCTCGCAGACAGGCAGCAGACATAAATACGTACGTGGATGAGACGTGCATGGCAACGACGTCTTTCAGGCTTCAAGCTTCAGACATCCTTTGCCTCGCCCGGTGCTGCTTCACGCTCGGGTCATCGTCCCGTCCCGTCCCGCCCCACCTTGCCCCTACCCCCTTTTTCTCCCTTTGACAGCGGCAATGGACGCATTCTTCGTTATCGCAGCACCAGTGCCAGCCGAGGAGCCAGAGGGCGAGACGGTCCCGGCCAACTACGAGACCTCGAACGGCACCTTCTTCGCCGGGTCGTGTACCATTGCATGACCATCGGCCACACACGCATATATACACGGCCTCTGCTCGTCAGGTGGGCGGTGTCTTGGCTTTTGACCATTTGTCTGGGCGGAGAGCTGACGATGGTACCGGCAGGCGCGAGCATGCAATCCGTTAGACATGCCTTCAACTTCAACATTCACGCTTACACTCACACTCACCCGCAAGGACATTCCGCGCTGTCTGCGATACGCGCATAATCTTATTCATGCTTCTTCGTTCACGATTGTGTTATCTTTTGCTTTTCTCCTGGGTTGTTTGAGGAGAGTGAGGATTGGGAGATGGGGGGCCTTGTCACTACTAGCGGCGCGCCAAGGCATTGTAGAGCACAGGGAAGGCGAAGGGGAAGGGGAAGGGGAAGAGGAAGGAGGGGACTGTCTGCGGTGACTGCGAGGGGGACAAAACATTGTAGAAGCACCAGAAGACGTGACATGCATACTGTACTGTTCGATTAGGACTCGTAACGATAATCGCATCCGCGTCATTGCGATTCACGGAGGTTTGATCTTGAGGATGGACGTCCGGCCACCACGTACATCGCCTTGGGCCAGTCCCGAGGACCATTTCTGAAGACATCACTTCCTATCCTCATCGCAAGATAGCGCTGCTCTCGCTATCCACGCCAAGGAAGTAGTCGAGACGGCCACCAAGTATGCCGCTGGAGAGCTCGTTCACTCTATCTCCGAGCTCGCCATCCATCACGTACAGCGTTCAAGTCCAGCACGAACACGGCACACTCGGAAATCTCAATGCGGATCTCAGAATTAGCGAGGGAGGCCGTCGACCAGTCAAAGACAGACGATTCGCGATGCGCGACGCGCGAACAGTGCGCTTCACGATCAGGAAGGCCGTCCGCCTGCGGGCCTCTCAAGGCCAATCCGAGATCATAGATGCTCCTGGAGAACATCGAGGCTACGAGCGGTCCACGTCAAGATCGTCAAGATCGTCAAATGCCCCAAGGCCTCACGTGCACGGCCAAAGACACGACGCGCCAGAGATGTATGCTCACCGGGTGGATTGAGCGCGCTTGTGCTACGTACATTATCGGCTTCTAAGGTCGACACGACCGTCGAGTATACCGCTAGAGACCTCGTCCACGTCCACTGTAAGTTCGAACGCACGCCACTGGCATCCGCCACGTACAGCGTACAGGTCCAGCATGAACGCGACTCACTCGAAAATCTCAACGCGGACCTCGAGACTGCCGCGGGGGAGACCGTCGACTACTTTAAGACGGTGGAATCGCGATTCGCGATGCGGATATAATGCACTTTATAAAGGCCAGTCGCCCGGGGGGCTTTCGAGGCCAGTCCGAGATCCTGGAAGCTCCTGGAGAACATCGAGGCTATGAGCAGTCCACGTCAAGATTGTCCGAGATGCTCACGTACGCCATGGCGACGATGCGACACAGGTGTATACGTGCTCACCGACCGCGCTTTAGCGTTGAGCGTGGCTGTAGCTGTACATGCGATGCTGATCGCACAGAGCGCACCGGGACACGACTACGAGTTACTCGTTGAGGAACTCATCTGCAGAGGTGATCGCGCAGCGTGCGATGCAGGGGAGGTGTTAAGTTCTCTCCTGTGGCAAGGACCGCCAAAGAGAGGGTTGTCATATGCGATGCGATACGAGTGCAGATTTCAATTCGCTTGGAGAGGATCAGAATGCAGAGAGCAAATCGGGGAGCACCAGTCTGCCAGTTGAAGGTGATGATGAGCCAGCGGTGGTTCACGACACGCGAGCTTCTCCTGGTCGACCACCGTGCCGATTTGAGCACATGAGAGAGCTTGAAGCAAGGATCAGTCATTAAAACTGAGAGGGGATTGATGCGGAGTGCGCGATTGAGGAAAGAGCCTGCTGATGATCATCGTGACGAAAACTCAAGAAAGTGGCCAAGGTGGCTGAAGCGTTAGAGCTGCGCCACGAAATGTAAATGCATTTCGTTCCTTCATCCTTCAAAGCAAGCTATACAATGAAAGCATACATCAATTGTACTGCTTATACCTACATATACATACACTGTTTCTGAAAGCTGTGCCTGGATCCTGTCTCTGAAATGCATCTAGTGGTTCTATGTAACCAGCTGCAGGTTCGCAATGGCATTCTTGCAAACCAAACGTCCAATGGTATATTACACGGTTGAAAGGTGTATCTGCACCCAGGCTAGCACTCTGTGCTGAAGAGAACCATAGGAGAGCCACCAAAAGACAAGAAAGTGAGGGTGTGGGCAAGCAGAGCTCTTGATCGGATGATCCTGAGGTGTCTTCAGAGAACGGAAAGCCTACAGCGCGTGACACAAATGGCCACCAGCAGGACAGCGGGAAAAAGGCAGCACGCGCACTGCGCAGGGATCTCATGAGGACGGGAGCGAGGGTGGCGACGCGCGTCGGCGGTGGCGGGGGCGGCGCTGTATGTTGGTTTGTTCAGCGGCCAGCCACCGCCCACCGATGCCGTGATGCCGAACTGAACTCAGCTGATCTTGATCGCTGCCGCTGTAGGGCCCCGTACTTAGTACGGGCCGTATACCAAATCCCGTAGTTTCCATGTTCTGAAGATACGTAGGGAAAGCGTACACGAATACAAAATCCGTTTCAAGTAGTACAACCAAACAGTCCGAATCCGCGCCAACATTAGACCCCAGGAGCCTCATCATCCACCAAAATGGCCTTCCTGGACGTCCCCTCCGGGATATCCCCACCAGTGATCTGCGCCTCAAATATCCGCAAATGCGGCTGTATACCCCCCGCAGCCCTGTCGAGCGGGGCATACGCGATATTGAACGCATACACGACGATATCGCAAATGTCCGCCCACCGCGGCTTCTTGAGCTCGTCGTCAATCTCGCTCTCGCTCTCGTACAGCGCGATGATGTCGAGGTTCTTGCCAAAGTACTCGAGGCACTGCGCGAGTTCCGCGCGGAGCTCTTCGGAGAGCTCGGTGTCGGCTTCGAGCGCGGCGGTCAGCCAGCGGTGGGCGACGTCTGCGTAGGTGATCAGCGCTGCCCTCGCGCTCGCGACGGACGAGTCCTCATCCACTTTGCCTGTCCTAAACGCCTGCGTGCCCCCAAAAAGTAAGCGAGCGTCGTTGAGCGATGGAGCGACGACTTGCCTCGAGGTCGACAGACCTGAGAAACGCGTTGATCATCTGGATGTTGCGCAGGATGGCGGTGTAGTACTGCACAGGGCGGGGCGAGGGCCCAAAGATGGCGTCCTCGAGGCTCTCGTCCGCACACGTCGCCGCGCGGCCCTCGTACAGCCACTGCGTGCTCTCCGGCGAGGGGTTCTCCGTGACAGTGCTCGCGCTCCCGGCGGAAGGCGCTGCCTGGTCTTCGCGCCGCGCCGAAGACGTCGAGAACCGGCTTAGAAAGGCGGGGTTGGGTCGAGCTGCGGGAGGGTCAGGAGGGAACAGCAGACTACCTCGGCTTGCACACCATGCTGGAGAGGATGTCGAGATGCGAGCGCGGAGAGGCAGAGCGCCCTAGCCTGCTGGTCGTCATAAGTGATCTGTGGCTCTAGCGCGTTGATACTGACCGGTGCTGTGGCGGCACGGATGTGTGGCAGAGGCAGACGCCTTGACGCACGCAGAATTTTGGTGGAATGCATTGGGATGCGGAGAGGAGGTTCCGACGCGACGCGCCTTCCACGCGCCCGGCCACTGCCGACCGCGACTGTGGCGTATACATGACGTCGTGCTTTGCGTAGGCGATCCAATGCACGATGTCAGTGAAAAAATGATGCTGGCCACTCGCAAGGGATGTCCGTGCTTGTGCCTAATGATCATTCATGTGCTAGATCAGTGCCGAGCACGTGGATATTGAACTTTTTAATAGCGCCTTCTGGGGTGCTAACGTCCACCTCCTTGCGCATTCATCTTCCCGAACAGACTCACAGCAGAAACGAAATAAAGTCTGCTGTCACGCACGGTCAGATGTTGAGTTCAGCAAGAGGATAATGCATCTCATACGCAGCGTCCAGACGAGAAAATGGAAACGTACCGAAGCCTCTGCTTGACGTACCATGATACTTATGTCTCAAGTCGGCCGCACAGCACACATGATCCATGTTTTCAATGACGTTTATATTCCACCCGTCGTCCCATACACATTCCTCCTAGACAATCCCTCTGTCGTACAAGAACATGTCCACACAATTTAGCTGAGCCGTGTTGATTCGCGTGACACTTACCGTATTTCGGGCAGCATTCGCATCGGTCTTGAGTCCCTTTTAGACAGTATCAAAATTAGGAGCCTGTCCAGTCGTCCAACAGAATGAACCTACCTCGGTCCGATCATTGCACGCCGCCAAAGACGGCCAGATTGTCTTGCAGTACGATTCTGACGAGCCATTGAGATGACGCGCCATTATCAAGAAATACTCGATTGTTTATTCAATATGCACTCACCGTGTCCCAGTCATATCGACGTGAGAGGGACAATCATCCAATCTTGAAGGGGTCTTCAGAGTGATCGCTTATCCTGTATTGAATCGTAAGTCGTTATGTAATTGTTATAAACAAATGCAAATGACGGACCTTGACGCGCACAATGGTCTCATGCTCGGATACACGAGCGTATCTGGTGTCGGGATATACCAGCATCATAGAATGGAAAGGTCATCATCTTCGAGGTCGGCGAGAATGGGGGAAATTCCTGCACGAACGGTTGTCGCTCGATATTGAAAGCCGATGATAAATGTGTTGATTTTAGAGTTCTGTCTGGCGTCGTCGACGGCAAATCAGAGCACTGTCGACGCGTTCGCGGATCACAATGCGTTCTAAAGCGAAACCTTGAATCATCAAGGCCATAGTGATGCTTCCAAAAAAAACTTCAACTCACCATGGCTAACAATACCGACACCCGCTCACGCGTCTGCTTTCCGGACCTTCGAGCCCTTTGCACGTCTCCAATCGCCTCCTTCACGACATAAGGATCACGATTGTATGAGCATCATATGGACTGAGGAGAATTCGCGAGTACTACGTTGGAAAGCGTTGCAGCGGACGATTGTGAGGAGGGGGGAAGGGGGAGGCGTTTGTCGTAGCACGTACTCTTCTGTGCGACCTGAGAGTGATAGGAGCTACGCATTATGGTTGTGTTGGTTATTATCTCCTGGCGACGAGCAAAACTCCGGCAGTGAATGTGCATGGATGGATAGCCGAGGGCGGATAAAGACGTGCAGTAATCAGGGAGGCACGAGAGAGCGACGACGTCGGTTTTGTCGGCATATTCAGGCTGGAGAAATCGTAAAACGCCTTCTTGTCCGCCATTCTGATATTTTATGCCGCGCCAACAACAAGAGGTAGACGTGCAGTGGGTGTGTGTTTGAAGAGCATGGTCGCCATCGCACGTGAGGGGTGGTTGGAATAGATCATCGGAAGGGGCGTAGATGGATTATTCTCGATGGAAGTCCATATGAGCACGATATGAAAGCAGCGTCAGGGCGGCGTGGTTGGGACAAACGAACACGGCTACCAGCAAGGAACTGAGTCAACGCAAGTCGACAAAGGTCGACGCAGTGAAGCGTGGTGCATCCGCGTGCCACCGCTCGCTTCCCGCGTCGCGTCGCGGCTACTTCCGCAACGACCACCACCTCTTCGGCTGTTTGCTTCTAGCTCAAAATGTACTCCTGACTTTGCGAACGCTCTGTGAACTGCCTGGACGTCTTCTGCGATTTTCTGGACTGCAATTTTCGCCCCTCTGAGTGGTCAAATTACGATGCTGGAGATAGCGGTTCAAAACCGCTTGAAGTCGATCAAGCAACTTCATATCCTCCTTCTGGTGACTCTGGTTGCCGCCAACCTCCACTTGTGGTCGAAGAAGACGCTGCTGAGTGAATGACTTGAGGAAGATGATGGCGTCCTGGAATGTGACGGCGAATGCTTGAGACGTGAAAGCACTGTACGCTAGGGGATCTTCCACAGTCGTTGTCACCAGACGCAACATTGGACTTTGCGTTGCTCTGGTCAAAAGAACACGTTTTATTCCTCCGCGGGAGTCGCGAATGGTCCGCGATAGATGTTGCCCGCGAGCGGATGGATGAAGGTAAGTCCTGCTCGTTGTCCATCTCTCTGAACAAGAGCAGAACCATCGCATGGGATGCTCCTCTCTCGCGATTCGGACGCGCTGCATGCCATTGATCGTCCAGACTCGTCGAAGAGGATGCTGCGCTCCCCTCCACCGTTCCTCTGCTTTTCGCGGCGGCTGTCAAAATGGCGGTCCTTGCACTCGGCACGCCATGGTCATAATGCTACCAAGCAATATGGATTGCCTTCGTCTTGCTGCGTTGCTAACACCGAGTCACTGTCGGATGCCAGACGGCAGTATTCCTGTCGGAAATTCCGGAGTATGCTTTCATGCCCTCCAATCTTCAGTAATATTCTGTCAATGCAGAACAACACAACGATAGAACGGTGCGTCAATCATCATGACCGTTGACCAGAATCTATGGCCACTTACCCTACGGGCGCTTCTGATCGTGATCCTGTGACGTGACTTCCGGTCACATCATGAACATTGTCACCGTCACGGCTCCGCGTACGATGGGACTTGGGATGGGACTTGGGGTCGTCGAATAGCAAGAGACAGCCTGCCAAGGCAGACTGATCAGCTCCAAGGGCATGAAAAGTGACTCACTAAGTGTTCGGAACGTTCATGTGTGGGTAGCGTGCGTAAGGATCATTGAAGACTGATATGCTCCCGCGGGCTGATCGTGTCGCCGCTCGCGGATACGCTTGCAGGCGAGGGACGTCCATGCGTTCTTCAGCTGCTGATGCAAACCGAACCACAGATCAGTTTTAAGTCTGGGTTTATTTATCGGGCCATCGAGAGGGGGGTTGTGCAAAGCTCACCGCAGGAGCGGTTGAGCGGCGACAATGTCATCGACATTGATCTTGCTGGCAGTATCTGACCGCGTTTTCCTGGTCGAGGCTGATTTTCTGAGCTCATTGATTGCAGGCTACAGCGAGAGGTCGTATCAAGGTAGAGATCGATACACTATTGACCGTTCGCGGAAGTAGAGGCGGGGTGTCGCGGGAGCAGAATGAGATAGTCGCGTCGCCGCGGCGGCAAAGAGGTGCTCTTATGTACGGGTGACATCCCTGCCAAAGCAGGCAAAAACTTGCCGCTTCTTCGACCACGCGATTTTGTAAGACGACATGCCTATGCGCAGCGAGGCGAACCCTGGCTTGCTTGCGACAGCCCCTTGCTTTCTCCCGTCCTCGCGCAGCAGTGCTTACCAGTTTGAAGTATGGCTCTACCGAACACCTCCGGCGACCACAATTGGAACATGCTCGTCCTCGCGCGACTGCTCCGATGAACTTTTACCAGCCTTCTTGACATTCTCTGCGTTGCTCTTGATACAACCGCCGCCCAGCTCAGTCTCTCTGATTCAACGTCTCCCCAGCTGCCGTTCAATCTACGGGCACAGGACTCACTGCAGGCAAGGAGGAAATGGCCATATATTGAGGTGGATCCGGCTGCTTCGTTGACGGCACAAACATAAATCGTACAGCTGGAAGCTCGACCCTGACGCCCAGAATTACGAGCAGTCCGGGGACTTCTCCAGCAGTTGTGGCAGTCGCTATGTCGCTGTCGTCCATATGCGGACCTTGATGGCTCCTCGTCAGGTTAGCCGGAAGGCAATATCCTGGTCGTGGACCTGGATACGTTTCACTCTGCTGGTCGTCAAAAATGTCAACATTAGGACGACTGAGGGATTGTGCCCTCACTACCGCCGTAAGTCCACTGCGTCGCTATCACATCGTGCGTTTTGTCTTGCGTTCTCATATCTTCCCGTTTGCTGACGGGTGTTCCAATATATGCCGTAGTTGTTGTTGGATGGATGTGTCAGAGGACTTGCATTGCTGAGAGCTGGCTGTGACGCTCGGCTGTCAGGTTTTTGAAACGGTGAGCATATGCTGTCTAGACGCGGTAGCAAGAAGATTGCTTTACGCTTGCATTCTTGATATTACGATGATACTATGTTGGGCATGTGTTTGATTTTCATTCAGACTTGAGAGCGGGTAAGACGCCTTGATGTCTTTGTACACGTACTTGTTCTCGTCAGTCTGGTGTTCGTCGCATCTGCTCTCGAGGTTCTTCCGCTGTCGCACTGCCCTTCATTAAGCTGCGAGGATTATGCATGCTGTCTATTGCCTCATGCGTGCATCGCATTCCGCCGAATAATGCCGGATTACATTCTGCGGATAGGCCAGTGTATCAGGAGATCCTTCATTCTTTCATTACATGTTCTCAAATGACTTCGTGTGGGATAGAAATCTTGTCTTTGGCACTCGCTGACACAATGGAATGCAGTGTGCTGATTGAAATATCTGCAGAGCTAGATCACTGTTGCGTCAAGTCGTAAGGTCGCAAGAAGTCAGACTGCCCGGCTGGATCATTCGTCTTCTGCTTGCATCTTGAGCATGAAGAGTCAGTCTATGCTGTGCTCGGTCTTGTCCGGTGTCTTCAACGAATGGATGCTTGATGGACTCTTGTATTTGAGGTCACTCGCAAGCATCAAAGACATGAATATTGCATAAAAGTGCAAATTCTGTATTGTTTGTCGATCAATTCCACCAGCATCGAGTATATACTGAAAACATTGCGTAGCGCCCCAGACAAGACACGACACGACATTCCCAACACCGACGCATCGACCATCACCGTGAGCAGTGTACCTACATGCACGGCTGTGCTTGACAGCGGATCTTACGTCAATGCGACGTGAGGCACGAATGTTTGGTCAACGGCTCACCAAGGTAGGTTCTCTTTTACGAGCACATCCGCAATGTCGTTGAGCATCGGAGCTGTCTCCATAGTCTTCTCGCATATTACGCGACGAAATCTTACGTTGAGAGTGAAGACATGAGCAATTCATCTTAGCTGGCGGAAAGTGTGGGAACTTCGAAGCAGACTTCAAGCAGTCATGAGACGTCCTTTGCTATCGGACCAGCATGTCCCTGAAGCTGCAGCGCATCAAGGAAGAAGCACAAGCGGAATCGCTAGGAGCATATTTCTGATGAGCGAGGGAGAACATGTTGGAGGAACGAGGCATTCCCGAAGGTAAGAAGACAGTGCGGTGGCCCCGAAGAGCACTCGTCGCAGCCGAGGTTTAGCGCTGGAAAATCCGTACGGACGCGTCGCGCGCGTAGATGCACGTGACATAATGATCCGATCACGTGTACGTCGTGCCAATTCGTCTACCGCCCTCAGATCGGTGACACCGTAGCCAATAAATTAGGCGGCAGATTCAATCACTTTTTTGTGTATTACTCTATGAATGGCTCGGATTCTGTCGAGCCTCCGGGATGTGTTTACTGCCTCTCGGGAAGCGTCTTCGCATTGGTGCTCGGCTCGGAGGCTTTTGACGGGCGCTCAACGATCGATCATCGTGATGGGTGTCGAGATTGCTTACATCGATTTGTCCCAGGTGGCTGAACTTCTCGTGTGTGGCCTGGGCGAAGTTGAACTCAGCTTACGTCTTACTGACATCTTGTCTCGGGTTCGTTTCCAGCGACGTCGTCGACTTACGCTCAAGCAGACCATCAAGTCCGCGCGAGTGCCATTCACCGCGTCTACGAATCGAATCACCTGGTAGACTTTGGATGGGGCTCGCTCAGATTCCTCGTTAGACTCGCAAGCTCGCTTGTGATGCGTTGATTGCCACCTCTACGTGCATTTCCTCGAATCGTGTTCCACTTCCTGTCATATTAGTTTGCGCTTGAGTATGACATTTCCTGCATATCCTGTCTTCGACATCCGCAGGCTTATTGGAAAAAGGCATGTCCCCCGCTAATCTTGAGCATCATGCCGAGGGACAGAAGGAAGGCGAATGCTATGGGCAGCCGTATGACAGTAGCTGCGAGCGGAACGGCTCTCCGGAGCGTTGGCAACGTATTCGTGGCAGCTGTCGGTCGTACGTGTAGCTTCGAGCGGCGTCATCGGGTTCGAGAATGTGGAGGATTGCCTGCAACTCCCAGCCTGAAGCAGGAATAGCCGCGTCATAGTGTCCTTCCCATACCGTGTCGTTCCGACGGGTTGCTGGTTCGTTGTTGTCGACGACGTGCATGCTGGAAGATATGCACTGCATCAAAAGATTGCAGGAATTCATCCAAGTAGGCGGGACCGAGTAGGAACTCAACGGTGCTAGACCTTAAGACGCTCTTCAGGCGCTCGCTTCCGCTCTTACTAATACGGTCACCGATCGCCGTTCTGCTTACGCAAAACATGTCTTGGGTGGTCCATTTTACTGCCACTTGCATTATCTTTACTTTACGTTCACGAAAAGCAGTGAATTACGCCATGCGCAGCAGAGACTTTCGGCAGAAAACAGGCATATGCCTACAAGGTCTGTTTTGCCTTCACTAGTTCACGAATGACTTCGATACTGTGAGCAACCGCATCCCTCCTCATCTTCTCTCGCTCCTTCTCCTACGCTACAACTGCTATGTCTCTCGCTTCAGCTTAGGCTCTCCCATACACGAGCACACGGCCAGCTCTTAGGACCCGGCGGACATCATGCGTGGCGGTCGTACCATCCTCTATCAATTCCGAAACATGCGATGTCAATGACGTGCTCTCGGTCGCTCAATTACATTTGGAAGCTTTGCACGCCAGGTCTTCAAGACCTCCCACGTTATGCAGATGTTGTCGAATGTAGCAGAAACGTTCCTTCGGGAAATCTCGCTACACGTGTCCGTGGAGTTGATTGAACGCGACTCTCAATATGTTGTGGAGCGCTTCTGCCGCACGTTCAAAGATAGCGCTCAACAGCTAAATCGAATTATAGATAACATCGGTGTCTAGAAGAGAATCGAAATAAAGTTGTTGTTCGGTGAGTACGCTCGACGAGATCGTTATGCAATATTTATCATACGACGACATGAGTACTCTCGTTTGCACATGGTTGGCAGCTCATACAACTCAGTTCACTGGTGTCTTTCCTACATCAAATGTCGCTGCTCCTGCCAACTTCGAATGCGTGCACTCTACGGCAAGTGGTTGGGGCGCCGTCAGTCAGTGCCGTTATCCAGCCCGAGGTGCCGACGTTGCGCATCTTGTATCATTCCTTGGTATGTTAGTTATGACGTCCGAGATTTAGCTAGCAGCTAAAACGTCTCCCCTTTGAGCAGAAGCAGGTGTCTGCCGTCAAGGAAATTAGGCACTCGTTGCAGCTATGTCGCCCCAAGAGGCAACCACCGTGAACCGAGAACAGAGCGACTGCGACCAGCCTTAATATATGAAGTCACGATGACACTGCAGATTTCTCTGGAAGTCCTTTGCCGACGCTGCGCCTTATATGCGACAGGCCTTCGTTTGTCACCTGTACGTCTCTGGATTTATTCGATCTACGTCTTTGTCTTACATGAACGAATCGCCCGTTTGTGCCCGTTGAAGTAAAAATAACCTCGACACCATCACCACAATCTCTCGATCCGCTGATTACACAGACTGTGCGTAAGATGACGGGATTGAACGCATGCCGTGTTCTGCAGCGATGTCAGGTGCGATCCGTTTTGCCCTTTCATGCAGATTTGGCGAGGAAACATGACTCCTCGGGGCGTGCGCATGTGGGTTAGCCGCGGAAGCATTATTGGATGCTCCTGAGCCAGTTCACGTGCGCATGCCTCCATGGGCTGGTCCGAATGACCCTTCATTCGGGTTATGGCGAGCTATTGCAAAGCAGATGCAGTCTGTCATCATGCAGAAGGAGAGGTGGACGACTCGTTGCAGCCGCCTGTTTCGATACATGGACATACTAACGATGATGAAGGAGGGATTCTCGAGGATGCACTTGAACTGTTTGGCGAGGCCTGAACGGTCCCCCCCTCAACTAGCTCTAAGATTGCATGTCTTGTCCATTGGGCGCATCTTGCTGAGATAACTTTATTCAGACCTACAGGCTGCCACACCTTGAAATTAGCACCTATAATGATATGCACCTTCGTCGACTCCGCACTCCGCAATGTCAGGGACGGAATTAAATAAAACTATCTACATCATACATGCATGTTGACATTCACAGAAGTTTCGAGACATGGAGAATAGACTACACAAGTACTCGGATTCCCCACACTCGGATCTCGTCATGGTCGTTCCCATGAGATCGCCTGTTCCGTCGATCACTGATCAAGATGCAAATCGAAACGTCAGGTGTTCTAGGACAAAGGATGTGTGATCATTACGCTAGCCTTGATGTTTACTTAAGAAGCCGTCATCGATGCCCACGTTGTCGTTTGTGACTGATTGCGAGTCAGAGAAATTTCATCAGTTTGTAGCATTTGTGCATTTACCTTGGCGTTCTTGGCAATTCGTCGAATTCTTCATCATCCAAGTTGACATTGCCATCCCAAGATACCCTCGGTACGAGCTCCCTGAATATCGCCACCGCATGTTCGTCCAAGTTGACGCAGTTTGTAAGAATAAGGTGAGTGATCGCTATGTTGTTTTGGTGACGCTGGATCAAGCAGTCTGCTACGGCGCGCAGAGCCTCGCTCGACGTCTGTGACTCGTAGACTGTCTGGTCTCCAAAGCGCACCCTGTCCATCATGAGGATACGAAGCCGAGGAAAGATAAATCCTTCAGGGGTGGTGCCTTCTGTTTGGCCTAATAATGCTTGCACGAGTTTATTATCAAAGCAGTGCAACCGGAGGGTCTCGACGTCCCCCATATAATGGAAGCTGCCAAAGTAGAACAGAGAGCGATGAAGGTTTGATAGATCGAGTATCTTGACTTGTAAGACCAACGGAGAGGACCAGAATGTCTTCCACATATGCATATTAAATCCTTTAGACGTCATGTCGAGGTTGTAGTGCACTTTATCGGGACCTTCAGAGGAGTGGGAAGAGTATGAATCATCGGTGGAGCCTACTAAGATGCGAACTGACTTCCGTGTTTCTCCAGAAACGACCATCGATATCGGTAGCATGATGCCTTCGAGCTTCGTAGAGATACTCCTTATCCAGCGGTCTAAGGTTGTTTCTGGATTGCTGGAGAACTTGACTGAGATGATGGCCTGGCGGAGGAATCAAAAGATGGTCCAGGATGTCAATGCAGCATTCGTCAGTACCGATGAGCAGGATTGATCGAAGCTTGCGCAGGGGCACATTGGGTGATTGTTGAGATGCAGATACTGTCGATGACATCTCATCCCATCGGCCGTGTACTAGCCTCAGGCTGAGCGTCTCCAGTAACGGAAACTGCTCTAACGCACGCAGCACGTCTTCTCGAGTGGATTGACACCAAGCATCTGGACCCAACTTCAGGTGCCTTAGTCCAGAGAATGGTACTGGAAGACCCCAAGGAAAGCTCTCGGCCGATGATACCTCGATGCTCTGTAGGTTGCGTACCCATTCTCCGGCGAGATGAAGTGGATCACGGAGCAAGTTGGATCGTTCTATATGACGTTCCCGAAAGGGACTGTCGATTTGAAGAGTTCGCAAGTTCGGGGCTTCACGCAAAATGAGTTGCGAAGATGCTGCGCACACCACGTTCATCAAGTGCCCTGCATCTCCGTGAATGCGCAGTCTCTTGATCCGTCGCAGCTCTGCAAGCACCGAGGTAATATGCAGCTGCTCAAAACACATGTCGCTGAGCCCATAAAGGTTAATAGTCACATCGAGCATTGCCCATTTTGATCATTTGAGCATCGTTCCGATGCATTCCGACGTGGCTTCGATCCGTTGCGAATGCGGCCCCACAATGTCGGCTCCTCAATCGCCACGGTACGCCACTGAGAACAGACATGCATTATGACAATCCAGGCGTAGTATCCAGGGCCTTGCAGCGTGGGCTCGAGGCGAAATCCTCCAGGGTAGTATACATAGTCTTCAGGATGGAATTGTGAGACATACTCCGAGAAGATCTGAGCCAGCAGCTCGGTTGGCAGCATGGAAATGAAAGCAAGCGCACTGCGTGATCTGTTCCTGTCTCCGAAATCCCCATCATCAGGTACAAGATGGCGCGATGTGAGCTGATTGTCGGGAGGACTATATTTCGCACTGACGGAGTAAAAGAAGATGTGTATATGAGACTGAAGCAGAGGGTCTCGCGTAAGTATCTGCAATGCTGTACTCACAAGGCTTGCGAGGTCCTGCGGGCTATAGAAAGAAGACGTCGATAGGCTCGTTTCGTGGCTGTGATAACCCTGCGAAGAATAAAATACAGTCAAGCTCGAGTGTTGGCCAGCTCCTGATTCCTGAACACCTGCCCAATGAACACACCTTGAAATACCATGATTTGAAGTAGCTCTTGCTGGCAGCCTTGCTACGAGAATGCTAGTCAGTGTGTATCGCCCTGTATCGCCAGGCAAGTGATCGCAACTTGAGACTCTAGCTCATGAAAATGCTATACTGGCGCCTGCCGTCAGTGATTGTGCGCCGCTGTTTCCTTGATGCCATCATTTTCGGAACCTCGCATGTTACTTTGAAGGCGAACAAAGTGGCGCACTTACAGTGAGAATGTCGGCGCTACTCGTAAGATTATAAGACAAAGCTGCTCGGTCGGAAGATGCAGAAAAAGATAAATGCCACGTACCCGGGTTGAACGAGTGACCTTCGCATGTCAAAGCTTCTCACATAAGTAAGGCTACAAGTGCGACGCGCTACCACTACGCTAACGCGGCTTTCGTCAATGTTACATTTGATATTATTATACCAAATCTCGTAACAGAAGCTAAGCATAGCCTGTTCAACGACAGAAACAATTGGAGACATTGAGATGCCTTTCCCTTATCCCGTGGAGACATGACCGCAAGATGGCTCCAGGAGGTTCTGGCCTGAATCCCGAGATGCGTAATATCGTCTTAACCAGATTGCCAGCAGCTTGCTATGCTGGGAGCATGTAATTCAAGAGTCAGCATGAACTTGAAAGCTTATCGCACCGGATACTAAAGAGCGTCTGTTCCGAATGCATGCCTTTGACGGTGTTTGCAGACCCACAGAAAGCAAGGCCACTATCAGCAGCGCGTGAGGTTTGCACCTGGCAGGCGAGAATGTAGTCGCCAATTTTTCAATTATCGAGCGCCTCGAGATATGGGATATTGCTGTTGCACCCAGATGCAATGTACACCGTATATCTGTGCGTCTTCCGATGGCATGGTAGGACAGGCCAGACCGTATACGGATTGCTTCCAAATGTAGCTTCTAGACGGGTCTGTGGCCGACCGAAGACATGAAGCAGAGTATAAGAGTGAAAGACTGCCATTACTGCAAAAACATCTCGCCATTGTTTGCAAGCACAGAGGATCATTCACATGAGTGCCGTCCGGCAGGTGCTAAAAGTTGGTAGCAGTATGGATCGACACTGTCGTCCGATATAGATGCATGGGAGTGACGATGAGCACTCTAGTGCACCATAGCTCCGTCGACGCACGAGTGGGCGAGATCAGGGAATATGAGAAGCCAGTAATGTCAGCTGCCTGCTAAACGTCCAACGGGTCCCACGACGTTTCAAATGGTATTGAGCGGCTCACAAGGTGTATTGCGATAGCAAATGGGCATGCAGTTTCGAGTAGAAGCCAGGAGACTAGACGGAAGTCAAGACGTTGCAATGGCACCAGTAAGTCACCGTATATGCGTACCAACCTTCATCGCCTGCATTCATCTCGGAATTGAGGAACTGAATAGCTAGTCCCAGTGGACGGACGACAGCAGCAGATTCCAGTAGATAGCCAATGCAGGCCAAAAAATTAACGTTCAGATGCCTGGACAGCCAGTGAAGGGCATTGCAGATTAATTTGTTCAGGAAGATACTATCGGGATCACGTCCCGAACGCACAGTTAGTCAGGACGCTGTGCAGAGCTGGCTCCGGCGGTCTTGATTTAAATCAGTTATATGTACAACGCTTGAGATTCTGTCTGACAGCGGCCACGCTAATTGCTGTGGAGGGAGCTTCGCATACGGTCTCCTCGGCAAACCATTACACTGGCGCGGCTTGTAATGACGTATCGCGAGATATGTCATGATTCCATAGAGCTCCCAGATTGTTATTTCCAGTACGCCAACGAGAGAGATGAGGGCAAGGGCAGTAGTTATCGATAGTGAGAATGGCTTGCGAGCACCGAAGTACGTGACTGAGAGTACATTTCCCTTGTGTCCATGGTCCATGAGCCTCCCTTTGACGAAGCTACCATGAGCATTAACTTTTCTTGAACTCCAGACTGGATATGCCAGTAGCTCGGGAGGTCGAATAATGTGGAGGAATGGGCGGAACGAAGACAGAACGCACGTCTTCAATGGAGGTCACTGAGCCAGCAGCAAACGTCGAACATTGTTTGGGGGTGCATTCGGTTTGCCCCTGACGACCAAAAACGTAGTGATTCAATTTGCCGAAATATAACACGCTACTGTGTAGATTTGCCGTCGTCGCAGCAGATTCAACATATATCCCTAGTGTTAATGTCTCCGCGGGCATGATGGGACCGCGCCCGTCGCTTGTATGAATCGCTTCGGTTGATATTCTGTACGGAGGGATTCTCCTAGATTCCTCGGCCATACGAGGTCGTTATTAATGAGTTATTGGCAGAGAAAGAATTGGAAGCAGAGTACAGGGCTGAGCGGCTGCCTTCACCGGCCAAGTAAGCCTCGACCTCCGTGATCTGGAGCGTAGCATCATCGCTTTTTGTTGCTTGACTTTGTTGAGCGGAGTGGCGCGAGTTCGACAGGGCCTCAAACAGTCGACGAGCAAGCTGTTGCGACTAAACGCATCGGTCGATGATGTGAAGAAATGCGGAGAGTGCGGGAGCGTTAGCCGCCTATAACGCATCCGATGGGTGCCACGAGGTTTCAAACGGCATTGGGCGACTCATGACAGGAAGCACAACAGCAGATGGTACGCAGTTCGTATGAGAGGCGGGGAGCTAGATAAAAGTCAAGGGCACGCCAGAGCGATAGCATTATAGCCACCGAGATGCGTACGAGCCCTCGTCGTTTTCTTGCATCTCAGAACTGAGGGACTAGCGACTTGGGCCCCGTGGACGGACGACAGCGAGAAATTCCATTGAAAATCCCCCACTAATCAAGCGATTGGCGCTAAGAGATCTGGACAGTCGGCAATGAGTATCGCCAGCTAACAATTTGCTCGTCTTCTGGGAACTTTGAGGCGGAGAAAGTACACGAAGGCATTGTTAGGGCAGTATTGCTCGCATATAGTGAGTCATCTTGTCCAGATACTGGTCCTGGCGATCTGATAGAAACTTAGTAGAAATCCATTGTCGAATGAGCAATGCTTGAGATTCTGTTTGGACAGCCGTTACAGTTGCTGCGGAGCAAACTTCACCTACAGATCGTCCGATGATTCGCCAAAGACCCAGTCGCATGATTGTAGCAACAAAGCGGGACATACTGGCATCAGATGACGTTGTCTTTGGCAGTTCAACAACCAAAGCACCCGCCAGCGCACTGAGCCACCGCAGCGCGACAGACCGGTGTGCGATACAGCGCAAAGGCGAGGATAGGCCCGGAGAATGCAGCCGTATAATGTCGACAATGAAGGTCGGTCCACCTTCTCGCTACAACTACGCCATGAGCAAGCGCGTGCACCATCACTACCCCAACGTCAGTCGTAATGGTGATGTGAAAAGATGTGGAGTCGAGTCGCGTCAGCCGCATTTGGAAGGCGTCGGGTGGCCTCCACGTGGGTATCCTTGTGACGGCCCGCTCGTAGGGAGTGATGGAGTGATAGCAACCCGGGACAAGCTGGGACGGTGCAGAGCCATGGCCAGTCACGAAAAGCTGCAGCAGAGTCGCATCCTCTGAAATGATGACCTTTTTTTGTGCACCGCTCCCCAACGGCTTGAAGACGGAATATAACGAAGCACGGCAGGATAGAGGGAGATCTAAGGCTCCAGATATTCGCGACGGGATCTTATGGAAAAGGTTCATGCATCATATCCTCCGAGGTACAGGTCGACGCGCATAGATTCGATAGCAGAGCTGGCTGTATGCGTCCGTGATGACGTCTGAACGTTGAAACGTTGAACAGCCAGTTAAGCGACTGCAGATTCACCGGTCGGACATCTCGCAGTATCGCGCGACTGCATTCGTCCGAGGAAGCTGCGTTCGGAATCGGTGCACCCCGCATACAGTGTGTCAGCGTATGTTCCACAGTTAGAAAGCAGCCAGCTTCTCGCGAGATCCGATGCCAGGCCCATTCATTTGCTGGTCGAGCGTCATACAGCGGCTGCGTCTGCGGTTGCTTCTGCGCTGTGTGCATCTTGAGAAGTGCGTACGTGCCAAGCTATCCCAGAGGGAGATAATCCCATAAGGCAGAATAAGAGGCGAGCAAGAACAGAGGATCGTCGAGAAGTACCAGCCGAGACGGTTTGTTCTTCAGATAGAATCCGCATGTAGGACCACCGCGCTGTCGAAATAACGGTCTGATATATGAGCATCCAGTATACCTGATATCAAAGCCGAACATAGCACTGAGTCTCATTTAAATGCTGAGGCGCTGATGACCACCAGTTCAATTGAGCGCCCGCGGTTCCGAGTGTGAAGACGCGCGTTGGCCGCATTAGGAAGGCGGGCGGGGTTAGCGTCTACCCAGTCTCGTCTCGATCGGTCTCGTCTGCATCTTCCGTGTCGCTTGGGTGATATCGCGTGAGGCCACTACAAATCCGCGCGTTTGCAATAGTTATGCACGACAACCTGTTTCTCGATTTGGCGTCCTCTGTCGACGGTCTGGTGATGTCTTGCGATTCTGCGGCTGAGCGCACACTGGCATATGTCTCCTGTGGCCAAGGAAAGGTCTCCACGGACGTCCTGCGGTGCTTGTTCGTGCAACGTTTACTCCAAGGGTCTCCATGTTTGCCGGCGGCTGATGTGGAGATCTTCTCCTTCCGTTGGCATCCCCCTCTGGTCGGCATCTTCCCTCCGGTGTGACGCTTGACGCAGGCCGCGCCCCGGCTGGATCAGCTTGTTCGCGTTCTCGCTGCACTCCAGACGTGCATCCCCAAAGATGAGGTGATGTCCGGGCTGCTACATATAGCTGGCCAGAAGATGCGGAAGGATTCCCACCCGCGGTCAGCTGCCCCCTTTCGAGTGACCTAATACCATTCCACTACGCCTGTTCCCCTAAGCCACCTCAGCTACCACCACCATTACCCTCCCCTCCCTAGCCAACTCGCCATCCGCCAGCATGTCGTCTACGCTCCGCCTTGCCCGCAGCCTTCCTCGCCTCTCTCGCGCGACGCGTTCGAGCTTCGGCCAGACGCGGATGGCACACGGATACACTCACGTAAGTCCCACACACCCTCGCCACCTCATCCACCGCTCACTCCCCTATTCAGCCCGTGCCCTTCCGTTATGACAACAAGCGTGCGTTTGCGGGCAAATACCTTGCATTCATTGTCATCCCGTTCTGCGTTCCGTTCATTGCTGCTGGATACCAGCTGTGAGTCGTCCATCACCCGTTCGGAGAGAAAGCGGCATCCAACTGATCTTCAGGCTCTCTTCACCAGGTACAAATCGGGGGCATCATCTACTGCATGAAGGGATTGTTGCGTATTGTGAGGGGACGCTACGACAAAGACATAGGGTCTAACACCCGGAATGTATCATCAGCTGTATCATGGATCTGACTCGATTGGCGCACTTCTACTACTATCATTATACAACATTTGCTGTGATGTTAGCTCGCCGCTTTCTGACCCATAGCAACGGACCGTGGTTGGCAGTGTCAGTGAAAATACAAGTCCGACTGTTGACACCAGTCAACTGCTCCTCAGTCTGTTGCATATCTGCCTTTCCACGCAAAGTCTGTTAAACGGGATGCCTCATTCTGACGGCGCATTGAAGTTTGTGGTAGCCGCACAGCATAGTAATGATCCACCGAGCCCCTGTATCCGTGAAGGAATTCTATCAGTGCATCAATGCAGGCGACGTGGGCTTTGTCGCTTTGGGTATCGCAATAGTGCGCCATTAAACGTGTGATCACATTCGCAGCTGTTCCAGGTATTGCGTGAACGCTTCATAGCATCGAAGAATGCACGTTCCCCGCGTCGAAGGGGTCGCTTCCATCATTAATACACCTTCGATCACCGTTGCATTAATTGATGCAGTTCACACTGCCGTGAGTAGCAATGGATCTCCTTATAACATAGCAACTTCTGATTTATCTCCATCGGCAGACAGTCGCAATCACATTCACAAGTGGACCTCAGTGTTCACAAAGGTACCCGCACAGCGCAGTGTAAGGGTGAATATTCCTCGACTGAGAACGACAGTCCCGCTGTACGTCGCAACCCTACAGAGCGAGCGCTCGAAAACACCACACCAGTCACCATACAATCCATATCCTCTCTTCTCCCGAACATCACGGAGGAGGCCAAGGTTACGCGATACGACACTGCTAGCTTAAACCGCCCTTTCTCCATCCGAACATCCCATCACCGTCCAGCGCTCCCGCGGGAGCTTATCTGTCAGACACTTCTTCAAAATGATGATCCACAATGAATTAATCAATTAATCCTACGGCGTAACGACCAAGCGGGGATACAATGAAGAGCATTCAGTTATTATCGTCGTCGACGATGGGCCACCGGATTCTGACAGAAGGAGTAAGTGTGAGAGCATGCTGTGGACGGCACCGCTTGTCAGGTCTTCGGAGAATACGTGGGTAGTGCATTCGATGTACATGCATTAGGCATGGCCAATATGACGTTATGGAGCGGTGTCGAAGGATAGTCTTCCAGCCGTACCCGAGATGAAAACTTCATGTCAAGCAGGGAGCACGACATCTAGGGTTTCCGATGTTCAAGCCAGTTAAATATCCAGATAACTCGGATCTCGTAAGAGTATGCGTGGACTTGATAATTGAATGTTGAATATCGATTTTTCATGATGTACTGAATTCAAGAAAGCGTGTATCAGAGTATGACTTCAACGCGGGCCACACGCGAGAAGTTCAGCCACCTGAGACAAATCGATGTAAACAATCTCGACACGCCCATCACGAAGATCGATCACGTTGAGCGCCCGTGAAAAGCCTCCGCGCCGAGCGCCAACACGATTTCACAAAACCGCTTCCTGAGAGGCAGTAAACGCATCCCCGATGCTCGACAGAATTCGAGCCGTTCATAGAGTAATACACAAAAAAGTGATTGAATCGGTCGCCTAATTTATTGGCTACGGTGTCACCGATCCGGGGGCGGTAAACAAATTGGCAAGACGTGCACGTGATCGGATCATTATATCACGTGCATCTACGCGCGCGACGCGTCCGTACGGATTTGCCAGCGCTAAATCCGGCTGCGACGAGCGCTCTTCGGGTGGCCCGCACTGTCTTCTTACCTTCGGGAATGCCTCGTTCCTCCAACATATTCTCCCTCCCTCATCAGAAATATGCTCCTAGCGATTCCGCTTGTGCGTCTTCCTTGATGCGCTGCAACTTCAGGGACATGCTGGTCCGATTCATGACTGCTTGAAGTCTGCTTCGAAGTTCCCACACTTTCCGCCAGCTAAGATGGATTGCTCATGCTCTTCACTCTCAATGCGAGATTTCGTCGCGTAATATGCGAGAAGACTATGGAGACAGCTCCGATGCTCAGCGACATTGCGGACGTGCTCGTAAAAGAGAACCTACCTTGGTGAGCCGCTGATCAAACATTCGTGCTTCACGTCGCATTGACGCAAGGTCCGCTGTCAAGCACAGCCGTGCATGTAGGTACACTGCTCACGGTGATGGTCGACGCGTCGATGTTGGGAATGCCGTGCCGTGTCTTGTCTGGGGCGCTATGCGATGTTTTCAGTATGTACTCGATGCCGGTGAGATTGAACGACAAACAATACAGAATTTGCACTTTTTTGCAACTTTCATGTCTTGCTGCGTGCGAGTGACCTCAAGTACAAGAGTCCATCAAGCATCCATTCGTCGAAGACACCTGACAAGACCGAGCACAGCATAGACCCTTCACGCTCAAGATGCAAGCAGAGGACGAATGATTCAGCCGGGCGATCTGACTTCTTGCAACTTGACGGAACAGTGACCTAGCTCTGCAGATTTTTCAGTCAGCATGCTGCATTCCACTGTGTTACTGACCAGGATGTGTGCCAAAGACAAGGCTTCTATTCCACAGGACTTATTTGGAGACATGAAAGATCTCCTGATACACCGCCTTGCCAGCAGAATGTAACTCGGCATTGTTCAACGGAATATGGTGCACGCGTGTGGCAACAGATTGCATGCATACTCCTCGCCGCTCAATGAAGAACGGTGCGACAATAGAAGAACCTCGAGAGCATGTGCGATGAACACCAGATCGGCGAGAACAAACACGTTGACAGGTATATCAAGATGTCTTACCTGCTCTCACGTCAAAAATCAAACAAAACCGTTAACATAGTATCATCACAGGATCAAGAATCCAGATGTAAAGCAACCTTTTTGCAACCGCATCTAGACAGCATATGCTCACCGATTCAAAACCCTGACAGTCGAGCGTCGCAGCCAGCCCTCCGCAACGCACGTTCCTTGACACGTCCAACCAACGACTACGGCATATATTGGAACATCCTTCAGCCAACCAGAAAATATGAGAACGCAAGACAAAACGCACGACGTGATAGCGACGCAGTGGACTTTCGGTGGTAGTGAAGGCACAGTTCCTCAATTGCCCCGGTGCTGACGGTTCTGGCGACCAGCAACGTAAAACACATCCAAATCCATGGCCGAAATATCGCCTTCCGGCTTGTCTCCAGCGCCGCCGACAGTTCCACCGCTCGAGAGAGGAGCCACCAAGTTTGCCTATGGACGGCAACGACATAGCGACTGCTCGCAGCCACAACTGCTGGTGAAGTCTCCAGATTGCTCGTAATTCTGGGCGTCGGGGTCGAGCTTCCAGCTGTACGATTTATGTTTGTGCCGTCAACGAAGCAGCCGGATCCACCTCAATATATGGCCATTTCCTCCTTGCCTGCAGTGAGTCCTGTGCCCGTAGGTTGAACGGTAGCTGGGGAGACGAGGGACTGAGTTGGGTGATGGAGGTCTGACGAATAGTGCAGAGAACATCAGGAAAGGCTAGCGACAGCTTATTGGAGCATTGACACGATGACAAGCATGTTTCGACGGCGGTAATCAACGCTGCTTGGTATGAGCACTCTTCGAACTGGTAAGAACGGCTGCACGAGGATGGAAGAAGGCAAGGGGACGTCGCAAGCAAGCCAGGGTTCGTCTCGCTGCGCAGAGGCATGGCGTTTTACAAAATCGCGTGGTCGAAGAAGCGGCGAGTTTTTGCCTGCTTTGGCAGGAATGCCACCCGTACATAAGAGCACCTCTTTGCCGCCGCGGCGACGCGACTATCTCATTCCGCTCCCGCGACACCCCGCCTCTACTTCCGCGAACGGTCGTTAGTGTCGATCTCTATCTTGATACGGCCTCTAGCTGTAGCCTGCGATCAATGAGCTCAGAAAATCAGCCTCGACCAGGAAAAACGCGGTCAGATACTGCCAGCAAGATCAATGTCGACGACATTGTCGCCGCTCAACCGCTCATGCGGTGAGCTTTGCGCAACCCCCCTCTCGATGGCCCGATAAATGGGCCCAGACTAAAAACTGATCTGTGGTCTGGTTTTCATCAGCAGCTGAAGGACACATGGGCGTCCCTCGTCCGCAAGCGTCTCCGCGAGCGGCGACACCACCAAAGCCGCGGGAGCATATCAGCATTTTCAAAGATCCTTAGACACGCCACCCACACATAGGCATTCTGGACATCTGGTGAGCCATTTTCCATGCCCTCGGAGCTGATCAGTCTGCCTTGGCAGGCTGTCTCTTGCTCTTCGACGACCCCAAGTCCCACCGTGCGCGGTGCCGTGACGGTGACAATGTTTCATGATGTGACCTAAAGTCACGTCACAGGATCACGGTCAGAAGCGCCCATAGGGTAAGTGGCCACAGATTCCGGTCAACGGTCATGAATGATTGACGTACCGTTCTATCGTTGTGTTGTTTTGCATTGACAGTATATCACTGAAGATTTGAAGGATATGAAAGCATAGTTCAGACTGTCCGACGGGAAGATTGCCGTCTGGCATCCGACAATGGCTCGATGTTAACAACGCAGCAAGACGAAGGCACTGCACATTGCTTGGTAGCATGACGACCATGGCGTGCCGGGTGCAAGGACCGCCATTTTGACACACATCGCGAAAGGCGAGGAACGGTGGAGGGGAGCGCAGTATCCTCTTCGACGAGTCTAGACGATCAATCGCATGCAGCGCGTCCGAACTGCGAAAGAGGAGCATCCCATACGACGGTTCTGCTCTTGTTCAGAGAGATGTACAACGAGCGGGACTTACCTTCATCAATCTGCTCGCGGGCAGCATTTGTCGCGAATTATTCGCGACTCCCGCGGAGGAACAGATCGCGTTCTTTTGACCAGAGCAACGCAAAGACGAACGTTGCGTCTGGTGGCAACGACTGTGGAAGATCCCCTAGCATACAGTGCTTTCACGTCTCAAGCCTTCGCTGTCGCATTCCAGGACGCCATCATCTTCCTCAAGTCATCACTCAGCAGCGTCTTCTTCGACCACAAGTGGAGGTTGGCAGCAACCAGAGTCACCAGAAGGAGGATATGAAGTTGCTTGATCGACTTAAAGCGGTTGAGAACCGCTATCTCCGGCAGCATATTTTGACGACCTCAGAGGGACAAAATTATAATCCAGAAAATTGCAGACGACGTCCCGCCAGTTCACAGCATGTTCGCAAATTGAGGAGGACGTTTGAGCGAGGAACAAACAGCCGAGGAGGTAGTCGTCGTCGCGGAAGTAGCCGCGACGCGACGCGGGAAGCGAGCGGTGGCACGAGGTCGCACCACGCTCCCCTGCGTCGACCTTGGTCGGCTTGCAATGATTCAATTGCTTGCTGGTAGCCGAGTTCGTTTGTCTAAACAGCGCTGCCCTGACGCTGCTGTCATATCCTGCTCATATCGACTTCCATCGAGAATGGTCCACCTGCCCCCCCGTCCGACGATTTTACTTCAACCACCCCTCACGTGCGATGGCCACGATGTCCTTCAAATGCACACCCACTACCGTCAGTTATTTCTTACAACAAGCTCAATGGCGCGGTATAAAATATAGAACGGCGGACAAGCAGACATCCTACGCTTTCTCCAGCCTGAATGCCGACAAAACCGACATCGCCGCTCTCTCGCGCCTCCCGATTACTGGACATCTTTATCTGGCCCCTGGCTAACCAACCACTTACATTCGTCGCCGGGATTTTTCTCATGACGTTCAAGCTATGGATCGCAACCACACAACTCTATTGCATATGCCCTGTCGCTCCTGGATCGCACAGAAGAGCACGTACTGCGACGAACACTCCCCCACACCCCACCCCCTTCCCCACAATCGTCCGCTGCAACGCTTCCAACATTTTTCGCGCGCATTCTCCTCAGTTGATACGATGCCCATATAATTGTGGTCCTTATGTCGCGAAGGAGGCGATTGGAGACGTGCAAAGGGCTCGAAGGTCCGGAAGGCAGATGCATGAGCGGGTGTCGGTATTGTTAGCAATGGTGAGTTGCAGTATTTTTGGAAGCACCACTATGGTGTTGATGCATGATGATTCAAGCATTCTGTTTCAGAATGCATCGTGATCCGCGAACGCGCCGACAGTACTCTGATTTGCCGTCGACAATGTCTGACGGAACTCTAACCTCAACACATAAATCATCGGTTCTCAACCTCGAGCGACAATCTTTCGTGCAATAAATTCCCCGTTTCCTGCCAATCTCGAAGCTGATGACCCTTTCATCATATGAGGCTGGTGTCCCGACACCAGGTACGCTCGTGTATCCGAGCATGAGACCATTGCGCGCGTCAAGGTCCGTCATTCGCATTTGTTTATAACAATTACATACCGACTTACGATTCAATACAGATAAGCGATCACTCTGAAGACCTCTTCAAGATCGGACGATTGTCCCTCTCACGTCGATATGACTGGGACACGGTGAGTGCATATTGCAAATAGATAATCGAGTAGGTCTTGATTTTCGCGCGTCGTCTCAAGGGTTCAACGGAATCGTGCTGCAAGACAATGTGGCCGTCTTCGGCGGCGTGCAATGATCGGACCGAGGTAGGTACACTGGGTTGGACGACCGGACAGTCTTCTAATTTTGATACTGTCTTAAAGGGACTCAAGACCGAAGCGAATGCTGCCCGAAATACGGTAAGTTGCGCGCGAATCAACACGGCTCAGCTAAATTATGTGGACATGTCCTTGTACGACAGCAGGATTGTTTAGGAGGGATGGGTGGGACAATGGGTGGAATACAAACGTCATTGAAAACATGGATCGTGTGTGCTGTGCGACCCACTTGAGACATAAATATCACGATACGTCAAGCAGAGGCTTCGGTACGTTTCCATTTTCTCGTCTGGACGCTGCGTATGAGATGCATCACTTTCTTGCTGACCTCAGCATCTGACCATGCGAAACGGCAGATTTTATTTTGTCTCTGCTGTGACTCTGTCCAGGAACGCGTAAGGAGCATCCTAAAGGCGCTCGTGAGGAGTCCAATAGCGCCTTCGGAACGAGGCACACGTTTCGTGCCAGTGGCCGCCAGGATTACCCTCTATCAATGGTTCAGTTTCGTGATATGAGGTATACCGATGCAGTGGCTCAGATGCGTCAAATGTTTCAGACTGAAACGGTTCTGCTTAATTCTCGCACTTCATGGTCCCACGTTGCACGGTGCCCTACCTGTTCTCTGCCATTCAGTAGAACCGACTATTCTATCGCGGTCTCCCTGATCGAGATTGTGCATCTCGCATGAATCTGAAACCCCGAGGTCATTTGATGAAACCGTGCAGCTTGACCAACCAAATTGATCGTTCCTCTGCGAGATGTTGTTTCGTAATATCCACGGATCTTTAACAAGATCACGATGACGTTCTTTACATGCTTAAATATCTGATAGTACACAACGCAACAGCGTCGGAGAGATGCTTAAGCACCGACTGAGACACCCTGGACGCTCTTGAGGTAGTCCACCCTGTACGGGTTGCTATCAGTCTCTGTGCTGCGGTTGTACGCGATCCACTTGGGCTCATCCTATCATAAGACGATCAATCGACCGATGTTTGATGTAGAGCAGGAGAAGACGGACCTTGAAGAGACGCATGGTACGAGACTTGTTGCCCATGTCGAGGGAGAAGCGGTGATAGATACCGGCGGGCAGCACGATCATGTCTCCCGCGGAGAGGTGGAGGCGGATCCACGCGTCCGTGGTGAACTCTACAGCGAGTAATCCACTTGTGAGCCGGCATGCCCACTTAGCGATTCACGATGTCACATACCGCGGACGTCAAAGAAGCCGCTGCCCTGGATGATGTACCTGATCTCCTCATCCTCGTGCATGTGCCTGCACGGCGCACCATTAGCCTGACCCGACACACTGTAGGAGCTAAATCGGACACGTACTCGTGATAGAACCGCTTCAGCGTCGCCTCAAAGTCCTCGCCCATGCCCTCCTTGGTGACAAGGCAAATGTCGCGGTTGCGATACTGCCTCTCGGTGGCGATCGCGTCCACCTTGCCCTCCCACTCGCCGCTCGGGTCAACGGGGATGTGCCACCGCAGCACGCCGAGCTTGTCGAGCGTCGCGTCGTCGACGACGTTGCCCGAGTCGTGCGGGAGGCGCTGGTCGTGCGGGAGGCGCTGGTCGCCGGGGAGCTCGTCCATATAGTACGCGCGCATGGTGCGGATACGAGTATGATGTAAGGATGGAGGTGCTGAGATGCGAGGATGGTCGCAGGCTTAAGTAGGCGTGGCGGTGCGTTACGGTCCTGGTCATGAGGTGTGTCCGTGAATCATCACAGCCGTTCCGCTGCAGCCGTTTTGACTGATGCGGCGGCCGCTCGTTCCCATCGCACGGCGGACGCGCTTGAGGAAATAGTCCTCCTTACGCCGAGCTCGAACATCCTGCCGAGGGTGCAGAAAGAAGGCGAATGCTCGTGGTGTGGCTGCGAGCGGAACGGCTCTCCGGAGCGTTGGCCGAGGGTGAGACGTTTCTCAACGTTTTTATGGCAGCTGTCGTTCGTGTAGCTCCGGGCGGCGTCATCGGGTTCGCGAAGGCGCGAGGATTGTCTGCATCTCCCAGCCCAGTAAGAAAAGCGGCATAGCGGCTAGCATTGCGTTAAAAGATTCATCCGAGCCTAGCGTGTGGGATCGTGTAAGGATTTGCAGTGCCGGAACGGTCACGAGCGTACGAGACTCCGGCCCTCATATAACTGTTGACAACGGTGCACAAGGTGAGGATAAACAACCAGCGATCGGCTGTTTCCACTACATCAGGAAATCTGAGTTGAGATTGTAAGCGAAGGCCGCAAATAGATGGGTTTATAATTTTCGCGTGAGGCTTACTTAGCGATTGTACCGCTGCGGGATGTATTATGATTGCTTACAATCTGTGGCAATCAGTTATAATAATTGCTGAAATATTGTAATTACATTATTACTGCTTACAATCAGGTCCAGATCACTCGTAATCGCATATGTTCGTACACGACTGAGGTTATAAGCTTATTCTAAGTGCGAACTAACCTAACTGGGGGGATTAGAAGTGATGAGACGTCCCCTGATATGCGCTAAGTCTAAGCTGTGGCCCAAGCGCCCAAGATGCGCGTTCTCTCGAGTCTCGACTATACCCCGTGTGCACTGAATTCGCGTTTTCCGAAGTGCAGATAAGGTGAGTCATGTTGTAAACTAGTGAACAGCATTGGGTTGAACTTTTTGAGGCCGAGATTGACTAGGAGCTGCCGCTGACAAGATGGCAGAAGAATGCAGCCAACCGCAATGCACGAGAAGCTCGCATAAGCAGCGGAATATCTGAGGCCACTGCGGACTGGAAATGTCCGATATGTGGACTATGGTCACACGTAATCATAAGGGTGCACCAAGACACTTCAACGCCTGCCAGAAAAGACACAAATTGGAGCGCCGTGCACGCAAGGCTGCTCGCACTCCCTCAGCAGAGCCTGCAGTTGCGTCAGTGGCAGATCATTCCGCTCGCTGTGTTGCCTCGTCTTTGTCGACCGACAGCACAATGCCGAACGCACCCTCCTGCTTCAACTCTCCAGATGATCCTGCAATCTTCAGACCACCATTCCACGCAGCCAGCTACGACTTCTCGGCACTGATGATGTGCATTTTGATCCAAAGCGCAACGTCGAAGCTAAAGTGGATGGCTTGAATAGTGGGTGGAAAAAATAATGGAAATTGATACGTACGCAGATAGCACCGTGTCTTCCGTCCTGCACAACCCTTCACGAATGAAGCGCATCTGTCGGTTGAAGTGCTGCATACGGTCTTGACTGCCTCGCACACTCTCGGCGTTCTCATTGTCTACAAGCTCCGCATGGCACACGTCGCAGTTGAAAGTGCCAGCGGCAAAATCGATTAGCTTTCCCGCCTCCAGAGGCGAGAATGATTTGTAGCATTGAGGACAAATATAGCCCTTGTTGTCGAGTTCCTGTATATTCAATTGTCAGTAGCATTGAAGTGTTTCATATCCTCGAGACACACATTGCGCAATGACGAATCAATGATCGGCCGCATCTCGGCAATCCACCATTTCACGACATTGCAGAAGTGCTGGTAGTCGATGTAGTAGCACTGTCTCCTGACAGACCGCTGAGCGCGCTCCTTCAGCTCATTCTGACGGTGACTGCAGAAACTTGTGAAGAACGGCAAAACAAGAGATAATGGTACTCACATTCGCACTAGCCTTCACCTTTCAACGCCGCCATGCTAACCTTATTCAGGTCCTTCAGTTGAAATCCCATACGCCCAGCCAAGTCGTCGTCCTTCAAGCTGCCCACCTATCGTGTTCAATGTTTCCTGGTCATCCTTCGAGAGCGTAAATAATGCTGCCGTGACCATGAGCGGGTGCTCAGAACGTCCGAGAGACGTTCGTCAGCGTGGATGTGACTCCAGAATGGCTCGAGAGTCCAAACAAGGTGAGCTACGAGATGGTTCTGCCACAGTCCAGAAGCTGCCTTGTCCTCCCTAGACTTGTGGACGTGCTCATACTTATGTCAGAGGAACAACCATACGATCCATGGCATCACCGTAGTCGTGAATCGCTTACCCATCGCGTAAGCTTTCTCTGAGATTTGTGAGTGTTTTCAAATGCTTCAGAACCGGTCTTCCTCTTCTTTCTACGCTCATCGTCCGTCTGATCGGCATCGACGGCGTTATCGTCTCGGGAGCGCTTTTGAATGCTGTCACCTTGGGCTAGTCGCACTTGAAGCGCAGTATTCTCCTTGCGCTGTTGAAATACTTGCTGTCGGAGCTTCTCAATCATCCGATGATCCTGCAAAATATCAGCAATACATCAATTGGGACGAGTGACCATGCACCTGTTCCTGATGCTCCTTGCTCCGACGTGTCACTACCCTTCCCTGCCCTCCTGATGTGACTTGAGATGGGTGTCCATGCCCCCTACCTGAACCTCCTTACGCTTTCTCAGCGTCGCCCCTGGCATCCGAGTGTGCAGCTGCACTGTTCATGAGCCTATTCAAACGGGCTGGTGCAGTTCTGGGTGCCAGACTCCATGGAAGATTGTTAGTTAGAACCTGCTGATCCAAGTCTGTGATAGGGGGTCTACGACGTCGAGAAGGTGGAACAGGCGAGAAAGACCGGCTCTGAGACAGCCTGAGTGTGTGTTGCCTGGTGAGTCGGAGTGTCTCTTGAGTTTCTTGGTGTTCTGGTACTAGCTCATTCTCTGTATTGGTCTTCTTACTCTTCGCTTTATTCTTGTCAGAAGCAGGCTTGTCTCTCTTGCCCTTGGCAGACTGCCCAGTAGCCTTCTTTTTAGCCATAGATAAGTCGGTAAAAGCGCAATGTAGCAGGCAGAGAAGATAACGAAAGTTCTTCTAGAGTCCTAGCAAGACCACAGAAAGAGGAGCAGTGAGCAGGAGTGTGTATGTAGACAGAACGAGCAGGGACAACGCGAACGCTCGGTATATGCGCCCGCCCTGCGCGCCACAGGCGCGACGCGTCTTCAGCGCTTATTGTGACGGTACATGAAGCGTCCATGACAGTACCTAGTGTCGCATCTATAGCCAACTGGTAAGTGGCAGCAATATTTTACCATGGAGTGATCCCCGCGTGTGTGCGTGTTCGAGTCCTGTAGTAAACATTCTCGCAGCCTTCGGTGAGTGAGTAGTAGGTAGGTTGAGACTTCGACTAGTAAGGCACTTGTGATAAATGAATTGTCTACGAACAGTAAAGAAAGTAATAAATATAAGAAAAATACGGAATGAATGTCTAGATTGCTTACTGCGTGCACAAATAAAAATTTTGACCACTGCTTAGATATTGTTGTTTGCTTGCGGTTACAATGTGCGCGCCGGGTTTACTCATGATTATAATCACTGCTTGCTGAGATTACAATGTCTCCGGTGTCCGATAATCAGTGATTGTAATCTATCGGTGTACGGATTATTGCACATTATAATGGGTACCACTGTGACCGTAAGTGGTTGTGCAAATCGTTCAGGTTTTCGTAATCGCTCGCATAGGGGTCAATATAATTTTCGCAATAGCTACAATTTAAACCGCTTATTCGCGCTTATGCAACGCGAACCAAATTTCCTGATGTAGTACATGCCTGCAGTCAAGCAAAATGCGAAGATCATGCAATCTCATGCAATACCGTCATGGATCACCTCCCACACCGACAGGAGCCGGTCCAGCTCATTGCAACCGCTGAAACGCTGATGGATGATCTTTTGGCGACAACAAGGATGCTGCAATACTATTGCAGCTTGCAATGCCATAGGTGTTTTAGGTCGTCACGTCTGTCATGAGCAGTGCGGAGGAAGTGGGTTACGTAAACCCAACCCGCCTTACTTACAGCGCGACCTCGATGTCCACGTCCCCCACAGTATGCCTGCGCCCCGTCGATGCCCACTCGAGAACGCGATCTCACCGCGGTCCGGAGATTCAAGCGGGGATGGCATCTGCTTGAAGCATTGATGTACCCTGCCGGCGCAGCGTCTGGGATAGCTCCATGCATAGGTAGCCCTGATGCCAATGATGTTCCACGCTGGCATCGACTGATCTCTGACGGTGGCCGCATGAAACAAGCCTCCTGTCACATCAGTGGCGTAGGTCACATCACTTCAAGATTTCGTTAGATTCTGACGCACCCACTTCAATCTGACTGTCACACAGCTTCAACAACAACACTGATGTGTGACCGATCGCGTTTGCACATCTCTGATCAGGACTTTGGCAGTGTATTCGTATCAGACTCGTCGCCAAGTTTGCGCCCTGCAGGTTTCACCTTGAGATCAACTCCGGAAACACCGCCCCTCCCCTCACAGCACGATATATATCAGGCGATGGCCTGCAGCATGCTCCCCAGCGGACGTGGAGCGTCGCCATTCTCGTACTACTCTACTTGCCTGTTTCTCTTGTCCTGTCGTTCGCCGTAATACGTCGTCATGAACGCCCTCTTTCTCATTGTTATTGGATCGCTGTGCGGTCTTGCTAATGCCCTCACGATTCCTCTCTCCGCACGCGAGCCGCACTTCGATGCTCGGTCCCGTCACCTCCCAATGAGGCTGGTTGGGATGCAAAGTATCAGCCAGACAAGTAATGACGATGTGATCAACTTCTATGACACTGTGGTAAGTTATATCGTACACACTTTGGCCTATCCAGGACTAATGAAACTGTGATTACAGTACGCGACGAATATGACTATTGGTGGCCAAGGTACGTTTAATGGATTGCTTCCGTACATTGTTATCGACAGTCGAATTCTATAGATCTGCTCATTCAACTGGACACCGGATCATCCGATCTCTGGGTGTCGCTGCCATCCGGCCAGTTTGAGTTCACCAACGTCACGGACATCACGGCACAAGAGACATACGGGATTGGCGCAGTCACCGGCACGATTGTCTTCGCCAACGCGTCTCTGGGTGATCACTTTGTCTACAACCAAGGTACATACTTCCTCGCCTGTCGTCTCAGCTCTCACACTGACCTCCGTCTCCAGCCTTCATCAACGCCACGAACGTGAGTTTCGGCGCGGATGATCTCCTCTACAGACAACCTGACCCTATATGACAGGCCACGGACTTCGGTACGATCTTCGGAGACAACGTGCGCGGTATCCTCGGTCTGTCCTTCGATGCAGGCTCCACCGTCGACGTCGACGTCGTCGAGGCCTTCGGTGCCAACTCCACCGCAGGCGTCTCCTTCCTCGTCAACCTCTTCCTGCAGAACCCAAACATGTCGCACTTCTTCACCACGCAGCTCGGGCGTACAGAC